AATTACACGCATTTTTTATTCCATTTAATTTAAACTTATTGGATTAAATTAAATCTACATCGTCGATACCGCATAAACCACAATAGAATAAATGCACGTTTTAAAATCCATTCTATTTGTTTACCATAGCGACACTTTGGGTCTAGGTTCACTTAACAGCGTTACATGTCGTCCATATTATACCTCAATGCATATAAATTTATATCAGTTGAAGAATTATCTAATCGTTGGCACATGTTCTATTCAAATACTATAATAAATCTAGAACGATGTATAAAAGAAATTAAGCAAACAAAACAAGAAGGTAACAATTTTTCACAGACGATTGAGTATTTCTCATTCAATTAATTCAGTTCTCACTCCCCGACAAGGCAAAAATACATAAAAGCTCAAAATATCTATATTAAAAATTGCGAAGTAAAGCTGAAACGTTTATTTCCTAGAATAAATTCCAGAATGGATTACGCACGATTTAATTCGCAATAATAAAAGAAGGTGTTCTCTTTGTTGTTGCGAAACTTCTCTAAATTGGCCAAAAAATCCGTTATTTCGCCAAGTTAAAAATGTAAACAAACATGTCCGCCATCGCAAAATTCATTAGGCTTAGCTGCACTTAACTTTTAAATTGTTCATAATTCCACAAATATTGCATAGAGATTTACTAAAGGCATAAAAACCTTAACCGGAAGATAACAACAACATAATTCAATCATTTTTAAAGCAAAAAATGCACTATTTACAAACATACACGAGTAAAGAAACTCAGATCACTGAGGCCACGAAAAATTCTCTTCAGAATTCATTTTAAATTAGTTTTATAATTTTTTTGGGGAAAAAGAGTCCTTTATTCTGTCCTTACTTGCGGATGTCACGCAAAAAAAGCGGTCAAAATCGATAGTTTCTTTGAAATATGATAAACGAAATTTTTCGCGATTACAATACTTCCTTTTTACTTCGTACAAGGAAGTAAAAAGACATCAGTTTATCAGCATATGGTAAACTGAAATCGAAAAAGAAGTTAAATTAAAGCTCCTTTTCACTGTCTAAGTGAAAAGAATTCCAATCAAGTTAATTTATGGCTGGTCAATTCCTATTTTTACAGTTTTTTAAATTCATTATAAACAAGTGATTCGAAGCTTCTTTCTTATTTAAATCAACAGATTGCGCGCAGGCTAATACCACAGAAGAAAACGGTTGTTAAAGATTATTCAAAAATTAGTTAAAAAACAGTCAGTCTTTATGTCTGCATCTTTCTCTGCGCTTACTGTTAATCGCAAGATACTCTGGCCGTTTCTGGAGAAATGGAGTTGTTGTTAGAAAGAAAATTTACTCCCTTAAAATCCCCCTTAGAGAACTATACCTTTGAGCATCAAAAATACAAAGAAAGACAAGATTTTAACTTTGGGAAAAACCATTAAATTAGAGAAGATTTAAAAAACAAAACAAACAAACACATAAGCCCAAAAAGAGCTTTATTGATTTTGAAGGTGTTTGAAAATGTGTTCCTCTTCTTTAGAAGCAGAATATTTTAACAAGTTAGGTGAAGCAAAAACGATTTTATATCTAAAACAATGGTCAAAGTGAAGCGAGAACAAACATAACACCATGATTTATCGAGAAAAATTACAACTGAACACCAAAAGAACTGACATATTAGAATATCGAGAGCTTTGAAAAAGGATTTATTTCCAGTTAATCTAATTAAATAAAGAAGATTAATTTTTGGGACGGGTTAGAAATTCTCGGAAATTATTTTTTCCTGAAGCTTCTTTTTTAGCTTTACCAGTTTCTATGGATTTCTGGATATTATTATAAGATGCTTAACGCAGCCCTCATAAATGGAGACGTGATCTCCGACACAGAGGACACAGGATGCAGTTTTTTATTTCTCTTTTCTCTGAGTACAAGTGTATGTCTGGTGAGGTTTCACATTTCATGCACCTCGCTGAATAATGACAGAGTTCCCGTGTATGCCCGTATCTTTGACATTTGTGGCACTGCACGAGCCCCATTTTAGATTTGTATGTGGTGATGAATATATCCAAAGCATGAAGTTTTTTGATGTTGTAAGAATCGGTTTTCCTTCTATAGAACGCTTGCATTCAATTTGAAAAAGTAGCAATTTAACTACTTTTCCTTCGCCTATAGAAGTGAGTTGGCGAACGTTTAAAACAGGAATTTCTTTTTGGATTAGCTCCTGTTTGATAACTTCAGGGTCTGAGTTTTTGGGTAACTTCTTGATAACAGCTTTAATAGGCTTTTCGCTGTTTAATTTAAAGCTGTGGAATTGAACTCCATGCGTTTTATGTAGTTTTGTTATGAATCTATAGTGATCTATTTCATAGACACCTATGGTAAGGGGTTTCCTTTCACACTGGCTATGTAATTAGAATTTTATTACTCTCAATTTCTTCTTTAAGTCTTTCCAAATTCGCGCTAAAATCGTCTAGTACGATTGGGGGAATATGTGGTTTAGGATTCTGAGACATAAAATTCTCAGCATTTTCGTCTTCCATATGATCGTCTTCGTTAAGATAGGCGAATTTATGAGATTGAGTCGGTTCGCTCTGTTTGATGTTGGATAGAGGACGTTTAACTTAGTTGCGTGAGGAAATAAATCCTTCACTATCAGTTGATTGTGCGTTTTTTACTTTTTTGATAGTTCATTTTTATTGGTAGTATTTCTCATTTTGTTGGCTTCTCTAGAACTGATGGATTCACTTTTTTCAAGCTCCGATTTGAATAACCTTACATTGTTGAGTTGTGACTCGATATCTTCCTCAAATGTTTCGCGAAGCTTTACGTTTTCATCTGGGTCTTTTGAATTCTCGGCTATTCTGCTAAGAAGTTGGCTGAGATTCAAGGTTTGGATTCGTTGTTTTAAAGATTCAATTGTTGGAATATGCAATTCCTTCAACTCTGAATTATTCTCCTACACTGTAAATATCGTCGTAATACCAAGCAAACGAGTTAAGTGCCATAATTAACAGTATACTTACCAACGGTCAAGAAGTGCAGAAAATCCATTTGCAAAGCAAAGTAAAAGCAAAATATGCCCCTGAGAAACAAGCCGAAATATAACAGTAGCGACTGCTGAATTCAGAAGCTCTCTCTCCGTCCTTTTACAGTTTTCAACCGGTCGCAAGAAATTTCTGCTTCTCGAGATTTCTGGAAAGCAATAAGAGAATGGAATTACGGTTACAGCTAACATAGTGGTCGATTACGTTTATTCAATTTCAACACAAATTGAGATATCCATTTACTCAATGTTAAATGCATGTGCCCCTGTATTTTATTTTTCTGGCATAGCTTTCCCTTAAAATTTGTCTCGCGCTGCGTTGCAAGAGGGAATATAACAATTTTATTTGTAATTGTACTAAAATTAGCTATCCAAATATAAAATTCGTAAGAGTATTATGATTTCAAACAGTTATCTAAAATGAATTTAAAAGTGGACAATATAACTAATTTTCATTGTATATGTGTATATGCACAGTGCATTTCTTTCCCCCTTTTTATTTCATTTATTTGGTTCTGTATTATTTATTTATTTCATTCTATATTACTTATTTATTTGATTGACTCTGTATTAATTATTTATTTTACACTTTTTTAAATTTATCTAATACTACTTATATATTTACCTATTTTGGCCATGAAATGACAGGCCACATTGCATTATAGTAAGGCGCATTTACATCTCTGGCTTAGGTGAGTAACATGTAGGCACAACTCTGAAATTTTGAAATAAAAGGCTTTAATTGAATAAAAGCTGAAATGGATTAAGACTCATGCATTCAAAAACTGAAGTGGATTTAAGATAATTCAAAATTAGCCCTCACTCTATATATACACTTAATGTAGGTCTTAGAATTTACCTATGCTTGGGTAATAACAATAAATTGCGTTAAATATAAATAAAAAAAAAATCTGAAATGTTTCAGATTTTAAATTATGTCCAAAGGGGCGTTTTTTTAACGTTTTGAGTGTTACCTTAGTTTTGAGTGTTGCACTTTAATTTACAACATTTCATGTTCTTTGCACTTAAACCATAAAATTCAGTTCAAGAGCAATATCGCAAAATAATGTTAAATTAAGCATATCTTTAGAATTTCCGATATACACAGTCTCGCGAGCTGGAGATAAAAGTATTTTTTTTTCTATATGACGTTTGCCATTTCTCGCTTTTAAAGCATTGAGTTTGTAAATCAAAAATTCGTTAAAAGTTTTACAAATATAAAATCTATAATAAAACAAATTCCAAATTGGGGATTTCAGATGCCCATATTCGCAGTAGGATTTCGTCATTCAAAATTCGATGGCTCTATGTACCATTGTTTTATCACAATGCGAGAAATAGACAATCATTTATGCAGATTTTTCATTATTTAATTTCTTCAAATATAATGCAGGACTCTAACATTTTGTGGCAACAGTTTGAAAAGTGAACCGACGTTTATGAGTTCGACGCAAAATCGCAAAACGAAAACAATAATCCTTCAGGGACAAAGCCCCTTTGGACTAAAAATGTACGTAGTTTCAATAGATTGCGTTAAATAGCTGTATTATAAAGGCAGGTCAATTGAACAATTCCAATAACTGAGGAAAAGAAACCGTTATCTTACATATTATTCTAGCAAAAACCAATTTCATCGCATGTGGTTACACAAAATAGATAAATAGTTTACAATCTTGCAAATTTCAAAATATCAGTAAAACGAATAAAGTTTAATCAACTGAGGAGTTAACTTCAACATAGAACTTACAGACGTAAGAAAGGAAAGAAGATTTTGAAGGTCGAACAGAAATACCTTCAGAGTATTGTTACTCTTGTATTGTTTTAATGTGATTATTGCTTGCATGTCACAGCAAATTATTTAGATAAAATTACATCTGCTCACGCATTCTGTAAACCTCTAACAACATTATTTAGAATTTGAAATGGCCTTTTTTTCAGAAAGGAATATTTTCTGTCAAAACGTTTCAGAAACACTCTCGAACATGCCACTTTCTTAACTACATCAGTCAAAGGCTCTTCCGAAGGAATGGCAAGGCGTTTGATGGTACTTGGCAGAAATGTAGGTGAATTACATTGCATCAGGATGATTTTTCTTTTAGGGGTTTTGACACATACATTACATTTTTCAACAGCTATGAATTCTTCTCAAGAGTTCACAGATGATGAAATACTTCAGAAATGGAATAAAATTGATAAAGGATTGATGGATATGATGGCATCTCTTGTGAAGAATGCCATGCCTTATCTAATTCGCTATTCCAGGGAGCTGAATTTGACATCCAAATGCGTGAATGATGGAATGCAGCTTATGATAGGGCTCCGGAAAGCTCAACCATGGGCTGTTAAATGTAAGTGCATATTCCTTTTTAATAGCTAATTTTCTATACGAAATGTTTGTTATTGTTAGTATTTATTCACTTAATCCGACAGAATCTCAGTCAGGCCCACGAAGAAATTCATCGTAGCCAACAGGTATGAAGTTGGCCAAGGCCTTAGCACCTTACAGGCGGCAGCGTATATCCAACATAGTTCTAATTTTGATGGAGAATCTTTTTTGGAAGGGTGGGTCACATCCACATCTACTGTCCTTCTTTTTCATGGTTTTTCTTTGGGGAATTTCAGTTCGATAGTATCTTAAACGATCCTTTAAAGACACTACACGTAAATTATCACTGCCTTTTTTCAGATAAGAAACAGGGCCCAACCATGGGGCAAGTAACTCCGCTAGCCATCATATTGATCAAGGCGGCTGCACTTACTTTTATATTCTTAAATGTATGCAGATAAGTATAACTCGCCAAATATTTCTTTCGCTTTTTGTTTAAATATATACAGATGTATGTATTTGATAGCCACTTAAAATTCTAAAAAATTATAACAATATGATTTAGTAATATGGTTAATGCGTCTTTCAATTGAAGTTTAATTCTTAAAGTCACAAATTTTAGTCTACTTTTTTATGTGTGATCTTCAGTTTTTCTACGGAATCTGTTTATAATGAAATGCAGATAAGAATGGGAAGAAGAAAAAAGTAAATTAAAATTTTTCACTGCATTTTCTGCGGAACCATTTCATTATGTTCAAATCTTTAAATGCATTAAAATTTCGTATATTCTACACCACAGACTTAAAATTGCAGATAGTTCGTGAAGTAGTTTGCTAAGCCACATGGCAAAGTTAACAAACTTTATTTTTAATGCACTGTTATTTTTAACGAACAACGACATGCATCTACAAATTTCATACTTTGATTACAAGTGATCACTTTCGGACATATTGAAAATTAACAGAAATGTTATTTAAAATACATTTAATGAAGTTGCTTGCATAATTAGCTGCAGTTTACGTTAATTTGTAAGGGCATATGTGTGTTACCTAAAAATATTTTATATGGAGCATTTTAAATTTACTATATGTGTAATTTGAACACTTATTCTTTTCTCTGCAAAAATATCTATAACTATAATTTGAAACAAATAACAGCTAGTTTTAAATAAAGTTTGTTTTTTGATACATGGTGTATGAGCATTAATTAATTAATTAAGATACAATAACACGTTGAACAAGTATTAATTTAGAAGTCAAGCAACAAAAATCAGTGTTATATTTTCAAATTGTTCACAGATTTCAAATTTGAAAATGTAACGATGATTTTTGTTGCTTGACTTCTAAATTAATATTTATTAATTAAATTAAATATATTATGTAGCCCACAGCAGCAATTATCTTGAATTATTTGCTAATATATATGTTTATTGTATACATATAGTATACATATATATATGATAATTTCGACAAGCATAGAAGAGGAATCAGCTTGCAGTCGTCGTAACTGAGTGAAGGCTTACAGATGAAAATAACAAAGCATGAAGAATTTCCAGTCTTTATTTACATGCATATAAAATCATCTCCATAGATGTTTATCCAATCTTAATGAAATCCGAGACATTTCTATGATTCAATCATAATGAAATGCAATAAATTTATATGTACATTGATTCTTAAAATTAAGATGCAGGAAGTTTAGACGGGGAAGCAAAGTGAAGAGCTATTAGCAAGGTGGAAGCTATAAAAAGAGTGACGCATTATATTTCCGAGCAGTGTTTATACAAAGTACATGCAGAAAGTTCTGTAATGTGTGATTGGTTAATTTGAGGTTGTTATATAATCATGGAAGATTCTCGAATTTGGAAGAACAGATGAATTTTGGAAGAGAGCACCTAATTTAGAAATGTTATATATATGTTACTGTGAAAGACCGAAATTAGTGAATGTCGACTTTCACCGGAGAATGTCAACATTCACCAAATACGCCGGTGAAAGATCGAATATTGCATTACATTCTTGTACATTCGGACCCTCACCGGTGTATGTCGACAATCACAGATATGCTCTGGTGTAGCTCGAAAAGAGAGGAGTCGACAATTCAAACTGCCATAATAGTTTAAGTTGTTGCAATAAATAAGATTTGAATCACATAATTTAGTAAGTTTTTTATTACTATTATTTTATTTTCTCATTCAGAACGTACTGTATAATTCAGTAAGTTTTTAACTTCTATTATTTTCCTTTCTTATTTTGAATGTGCTGTGTGTTTTAAGTTCTTATATTCTTAAGTTCTTATTTTAAGTCTCAAGTGCGTTTTTTCGTGACTGAATTACGGAGAAGAAAATATAATATTCTTATATGTTCAACATTCACCATTAGTACATGGCGATTGTCGACATTAACCGGTGTAAGTCAGAAATAAGAGTATTTGGAAAATATTTCGGACATACACCAAGCGACTACGTGAATGTTGACATTCACCGGTGAGAGTCGACATTCTCCAGATTTCGGTGTTTCACCGTAACATATATATATATATATATATAGATAGATAGATATTGCATTGTTTGCAGCAGATAGGGAGCTTAGAACGATGTTAATCTAAAATTCTTTGTGTATAATTGTCTGTAATAAAAATGTGGATATTTCTCGTTGTAAAAATAAACAATGAATGCGATAATATAATTATAACAAGCATCATATCTGCAAAGTATTCAAATTTGAAAATTTATACTGAGGATTAAAGCACCGAAATGTATTTTAATGTTTCATCGGAAATGTTGAATACTATGGAACAATTAAAAACCTAAAGAGTGAAAATAATTTAAACAATGCTGCAACGTTTTAACGTGATTTGGAGAGTGTACATTTTAGAATCACAACTCTTCTGTCTAATGTGCTTAAAGTAATATGCATATGTAACAAGTAGTATGCATGAAATAAATTTCAGGTATTTTATTTCTTTGTGGTTTCGTTACAAATCTACTAACCTCTGTTTTTTTTTTTTTTTTTACTTTTTATTTATTCTTCCGATACTAAATACAAGTATAGACTAGATCTTCCATTTTTCACTTCATGTTACAATATACTGCATGAAACCTTAGTATCATCGACCATCCATGCAACCTGGCAAATTATCAAATCTGTTAGCACGGGTGCCAGCCTATGCAGCATAAAATGTTTAATTTATTTTTAAAATTAAATTAAATGTTATTTCACTTATATCTTATTTTTTTCAGTGTTCAGGAGATTTTTTCGTATGATTAATGAAATTTCAATGTATTAAATTTACTGTCACCCGAATATTTAAAATAATTTTCAAGTAAATTTTGAATAGCTGTCTGGAAACACTATGTGCATACAGCGGAAAAAATTTGTCCATAAAGTATTAACTGTTAAAATAGTTGCTACTTTTATTCCAATTAGATAAAAAAACTTGATCTCTCTGGTCAACGTCAAGTGTAGTTATGTTTTACAGCGGGAATTTTGAAATTTATTGCCATGGGAAATTGTAATTATTAGTTCGTTTATCAAATTTAAAAGATTATTTCCTCTTGTAGGTAGGTCACTTCGAAACGACAGTTTCTTCAAAGTTTCTGTTTTACAGCTTTTAGTCCAAAAACAAAGTAGAAATTAGCAGATGCTGACAGATGGATTAGCAAATGACTCTTCTTTGAGGATGTTTTTGGTTTTCCAAGTAGTGCCTAAATGCATATATGTAATAAATTCAAACTCAGAAACAATGACCAGGAAATTGGAGGCGAAGGCAAATTACATCTTCAGTTTTATTTTTAGCAACATATTGTTGCTACACACAAGTCGGCACATTAAACGTGCCTGTTGCAAAAGGCTTACATTTTTGATAACTTTGTAGCAGTAAAGCAGCAGCAGACAGTAGTCTAGCTAGGCCAAAGCGTGGAAAGCAAGTGCGTTTTTTTCAGGGCGAAATCTTATTCAGATTGAGTTAGTTTTTATTCTCAATACATTCTGATTGGACAGTTAATATTGCTCTAAAATTACTATTGGCTGGTTGAGTTTTAGTTCCATTTACATCATCATAATTACGTGAGAATCATATGACACAGAATAGTCTCGAAATGACGCAGTGCAGAGAGAGGTTACTATTTTTAGAATAGAGAAGGAAAATTTACGTTGCTAATTTAATCTTTTATATACTCTTAATTTTTCTTACATATATATTGCACAAAGTGTTTCAAACGGATTATATAATTAAATGTTTATTGCGAAAATGGTCGCAAAACTGTAATTCTAATATAAGAATAAATATAAATAAAATAATTTTTCCGGAAGCTAATTTTACATCACACATTTTATAAAAAAAGTTCAAAACGCAAATGTGTATATCAGTTCCGTACAGAAGTATGTAAAAATATCAATAATAGAAATATTTCTCGTCATCGAAGTTCTTTCAAATGTATAATCTCCTATATCTAAATTGCATGAGATATATATATATATATATACAGTTCAAACTTTCGAAATAGTCTAAAATACCAATCATTAAGAATTTTAAAATTATCTGTGCTATCTATAACTGAAATTTCTGGGTACAATAAATGCTATAAAATTAGGTGTGTTATGTTAAAATTTGAAAGAAAATTTCCAAAACAAATCTGTTGCGTTAAATAAATAACAGAAGTGAGGGTTTCAAATTTTTCTTCGTATAGGTGCTTAAAAGCTAAACTTTATATTTCCGAAAATAAAATTTTTATTGCAATATTGAAACCCATATTTCATCATTGGTAAAAATGAAAGAACCAATAAAATTCTGAAAATATTTTTCAAATCAGATCTTTTACTAAAGGAATTTTGGAAGGATGAGCACAGTAATTAGAACATTCTTTGTAGATGGCTCGTGTAAAAGACATTTAAGTTTCATAATAATAGTGCATATTATATCTACTGAATTCAAATAAAAACAGAAAGATTCTGAAAACGTAAAGTAACTTTATGTATTGTGAAATAATAGTGTACGCAAAGGCATTTAATAATGTATATAAGGCAGACAATACCTAGAAATTAATGTCGCCTGTATGAATCTTGAAAAACAAATGCCACCTAAATGTCCTCATTCAGCTTGGATGCATCATTGTGTGGATAAACGTCCTCGAAGCGTCGCCTCATTTCATGAGGAACAGCATGTACTTCATAACTAATGGGAGTCTTCAATTCGTCAACCATCCACGAAGAATGCACAAAGAACTTCTTCATACATCTCAGATAAAATAGTTCGGAAATAACAAATCTGTAGAAGGGAATGGCTTAGTCAAATCGCAAAAATAAGAAATTAGAACGAGTTGAATACCGCCATACTTGTGTCTGCCGTTGCACCACCTTGTTGAAATCACATTGTTTTCATCAACTGTCTTATTGATAATACTCACAATCTACGTGGTTTCATCGAGAAGCCCTCTGAGTATCCATTGGATAGCTTGTTCGAATGAAGGCTTGTTCCGTTGCAGTACGCTATCGCATCGGCCAACGGTGCACGTTATTTTACCTGTTTCAAGGCTCTTTGCTGAGATAGGCACAGCATACATTTGCAAGCAATTTTGACAAAATTGGCATCTTATATTGAGAGATACATCTACACACAAGCCTGTAAAAATATTCCATAACTAGAATCATCCTAGACTGAAAGCTTTTATTATTGAACATAATTTGTTTTGAATCTGCGATCAATACTGCGAATCTTTTCAAGAAATGCATTTTTCATGCATTTCTCAAAATATTACTGCCATATAACCGCAAATTCAATTCTTCTCATATTTACTTTTACTTTTTCAGTTTTAGATGCAAGCGGTAAGGCGATCAATGGATTGCTTTCTGGAAATATGGTCTCTTTTGGTATGTATGATGAATGCATAGATAACGTGGAAAAAGACAGATATGGAAAGGAAATTATTAAAGGGCAATATTGTACTGCCCATTTTCGACCTCCAATACCTCCTACAGATATAAACTTCAAAATAGGAAATATCCCGGATATTTTAAAGAACATATCTGCAAAGAAAACGGTAAGTACCTTTTATTCCCAAACTTACATATTTGAAGTCACGTTTAAACATTTAAAGTATAGGACACATCTGTTTTACACTTTATTTTAAAGCCTGGCAAATTTCTCAGGTTTTCTTATCTATTTTTATATAATGTAATCATATTATAATTTCATACATATTCACAGTGCACCTACAAAGTTTTATAAGTAGAAAATCAAAAGCTAGAGAAATTAACATCCTTATTTCTTAATCTTCAGTATGTAATCCTGATTAATTTATGAAACACACTTCGCACGACGTTCAGCTGCTTTATTCTTTTGTAGGACTAATCTTTTAGAATGTAGCCTAAGCCTAGGGTTATAGTTTTCTGCTAATAAAGTAACAGTCTTTGGGATGAAAGTTCACCTTAGGTAAACGACAGTAGTCTGCATGTGATAAATCTTGTGAAAACGAGAGGTGGTTTAGAATTGGAATGCCTTTTATTTAAAAACTTTTTTATAGAAATGCTTGAAGAGAACAAAATCGTGTGTCTGCGAACAGTCGTGCAAAAAAATTAATCATTCAGTAGTGCTTTCTCACTGCACTGAGTTCTCTTCAGAAGTTTGTCCATTACATGTTCATAAGATACAAAGTTTCTTAGGAAACACATCCTCATGAATTATCCCTTTCTAATCAACAAAGATCAGTATCATAGTTACTTAATTCAAGATTTCTTAAACCAACGTTTTTGCAGCCGTGGAGAACTTTCTCCACTCCAAACGGATGATTGCCATTTCATTTCAGGAGCATAGCAATGTACCGAGTTTCATCATTATTCACAGTTTATTAGAAAATATCAGAATGAATGCTCCCATTCTGCAATAGATGCATGAAGGACAAAAGAGAATTAACTCTTCATTTCTCAAGATCTTTCCCAATGATTTTGACAGCAGTACTTTTACTGATGTTAAGTTCATCAACTACCATTCGAAGAGATTGTGACGAGTTTTTAGCAACAGTTGTCGAATATTATCGAAGTTCTTTTAGCACGGAACTGCAAAAGTCGAGCAATCTTGAGCTCATCATCAACATCTTCGCTTCTGCTTCTCGCTGAAATATTCGTGCCAACCAAAAGATTGGATAGAGTTCGTGTTTGGTCCCATATTCTTAGAAGAATATTTCAGATGTCTCCGTTGTGTTTTTCTGATTCATGCAGAAAAATACCACAGCAAAATGTTATTGCGCATACTTCATTCATCTTTCTAATCCGTGACTAAAGATGTTTACTTAATCAAATCAGACAACTGAATGCGCAGAAAATTCTATGATATTTTAAGATGATATTTTAAGAAATGATATTTTAAGAAAACAAAGCTGAAATGTCAGGGTAAAGGGTTCCAAGTATCATTTGGCAGGTTTACTGGAATTTGTTTAGAAAAATTTGTCCTTAAATCTTACAGATTCCCTTTGTATGTAAACAAAAGTACCATGAATATTTTCAGTAAGATAGAAAATGTATTATATGGAGGTGAACATACCGTATTTATGCTAATCTAATGCGCCATCGAATCTAATGCGCATCCCCATTTTAAAACTTTAAATAATAAAAAAATTGTTTGTCGGCTAATGTAATGCGCATCAATGGTATGAGGAATTTATTGAATCTTATTTTATACAACAATGGATTTGTATATAAACTATCAATGAATGGTATGATAATTTTATTTAAATTTAGATACCATATTTTATACAACAATGAATTTATACATAAAGTAACAGAACATAGAATTAACTTATTAGTGGGCTATTGTTATGTGAAATGAAACAATCATTGTTAATTACCACTACCGTATATACGGTACATATCGTAAAGTATGAACATGAAATAAATGGTAACATTTCTATCTAGCTAACAGTTTCTACAATCAGTGATTAATAGTAAACGTCTTTATTCACTATTTTGATGATAACTTTTTAGTCCCCTTCTCCGTAATGGTGTAGTTACGAGGCATATCAAACCAAATTGGCGTCTCGTCAGCGTTGCCAATTTGCCCCATTGAAAAATTCTTTTCCTTCCGAAGTGTGATGACATACCGTTAAAATGTTAGTAGTTTTCCCTCAAAATCTGCAGGAAGCTTTTGGCATATTGTTGTACGGCGTCTTAGAAATAAGCCCATCCGCTTCATAAACCGATCCACCCATCGACGGCTAGCTTTAAACTGTCGTTTCGGTATTCCAAGAACTTCAGCCTCCTCTTTTGCTTTATTTCTTATAGTGTCGCTAGTCACAGGTTGTCCATTCTTCCTCCTTTCACGTACAAATTCCAAAACGTTTTCTTCAATTTTAGGGTGTCTTCCTTTGCGAGGGCCAGTGAATTTCTTTCTACTAGTTTTCGTTGCAAACAGTGCCAATTTCTGTTGCCGCCACAAGCGAACATTGCTCTCAGCTACGTTGAACTCTCTCCCAGCCTTTCTATTGCCATTTCTTTCAGGATAAAGAATTACTTTACGTTTGAAAGTAGCGTCATATGACATTCTTCTCTGCTTGCCCTCCATTTCGTGACTACGTACTCTGCAGTATGCAATAATGTGTCAACGATAAATGTAACGGTAAATGTAGTCGAGAAATACAGTAATCCATTGTTACGATTTAAATTCGGTTGACGTCATCGGCGAACTTTGCACTCGAATCTAATGCGCCATCGAATCTAATGCGCACCCCAATTTTGAGTACTACATTTGGCCAAAAACGATGCGCATTAGATTCGCGTAAATACGGTATTATATCTTCTTATGAAAACGTTTATATGATATGTGTTATCTTGCTTTGCTTTGTTGTTTATTTTCTTAACCTTTAGATTATACACAGGATATTTTAGTATTTTAGTAAAATGCTCAAACGAGCAATGGAAGTAGAAAAGCAAATTATATGTTGGGTTAAAAATAACTAGATCTTAGAGGCTTAAAGCTGTAAAATAACTGAACCTGAAATAATGGCAAAATCTAGATTCCCATTTTTTCCCTGAAATTTGAAGAACTTATATGAAGTAAATATCACTTATTTTATTGGGAAGTTAATATAGTGTTCCTTCTATTTTTTCAAAAGTCCAATAACATAAAATAGACTGCAGAAAAAATATTAAATCATTAAAGTTTCGAAAAGATTTATCACCGTAAGCTTTGTTACTGTCTATCTAGGAGAGAAAAATTAAGTTTTCAAAACGTTTTTTATATCTTATACCTCCTGATAGGGCGAAGCTTCTTCTGTCATAAGGTTTTCACTATGATAAATAAACGACATTGAAATGTGATACCAATTACAAAAATATTAGGAGACTACATGAGCAGGTTGATGCATAGCATTATTTGCCATGATGACTCTAGTTGCCTAATTATTCACCAAAAGTATTTTTTTCCCTGCAAACGCTTTTTTGATCCTCATTAGTTTAATACGTTCCTCGTTTAATAAGCCTTTAGGCAGAAAACAACTTGTATGTCAAAATAAACATACAAGTTTGAAATAAACAACTCACATTTAAACATCTCAACATGGGTGTTACAAATTCAAAATAAAGACCTGCCAATTTAACAACGAAATAGAAGATGTAACGTATTTATTTATGATAAAACATTTGCTTAACTAACTAAAAGTTTTTTTAGCTCTTTTTATAAAGAGATACTAAGTAAGCTCACATCTGACAGTTAAACATTTGAGTTTTGATAAGAAAGAGAACAATTTTAACTTTTTCAGGCTTATCAGTTAACCACCCGACAAGGAAAATGTCAGATCTGGTCGTATGTTTAACTTGTTGTTCAATAAAGATATAAATATACCAGCATGTATATGTATTCTTTTGAAAATATTTCGGTACTCTTCTGTTGTTGGGACCGGATTCAGAAATGCATATATGTAAGCACGGTTGTATAATGTGCATAGATAGACACGTATACATACGTACATATATACAACCTCGCATGCATCAATGCATCCATCCATCCATACATACATACCCGAATCCGGTCCCGATAACAGAAGAATACCAATGTTTCTAAGAAGACACCCTTCTTCGTAGAAAGATAGCCTTCAAACTCTGTATTTAATTAATTGCCATTCAAAGGAAAAGTAAGATTAAGGTAGAATTAGAATGTTGAAGGATGGAAAATTAGTCCATTAAGAGATAAAATGGTAATTTTAGAAGAAATTTAAATGTCTATTTATATTAAAAGACTAAGATTCTACGACGATAATAAAACGATAATAAAATGAAAGATAAATATTTAAGAAACGAAACCAAGTTATTTTAGAAGATAATTTACTTTAAAAGAGAGCAAATAAATATCTCTATAAAATACTAATCTTTTAGTTTTGTTTTGATAAATTTGAAAATTACAATGAATAATACAGGTTTCTTTGATTTTGAGTATGTTGTTTATAGATAACGGAATTAAATCTAAATAGATAAAGTGTTTTGAGTTCAGGAATATAAAATGACTCTTGTAAAAGTTATGAATAATAATATCTAAGATTTCAATTTTTAGCATTATCAAAACTGTGTTATTTAAAATGCTCAAATTTTGCTGTGGGATATGTTTTGTTTTTATTGATTGACTTTATTGTTTTTATTGAAGATAAATGCACTAATTTTGTTTCAAAGCAATTGATTAACGGTGGCATTATAATTTGGAGGAGTGTTATTGTTTTCACAGGTCCAAGAACTCGAATTATGATATTGCATTGTACTAATCTTTTATAATTGTGTAACTGGGTAAAAGACATTAGGAAGCTAACCAAATTTACCGTAAGATGATTAACGGAAATTTCAAAAGCAAAATTCAGATTAGAAAGTAATCCACTTTGTAATGATATAATTTGTATAAACGAATGAGTAAATACAGCAGATGCACTAAAAGCTGCAAATCTACTTGTTAAAAAAAAGGTAACATGTTACGAAATTAATTAAATCCACAAAAGATAATAATTTAATTAAAACTACTGCACGACTACAATAACTAGTAATTTTAATTTTGAAGTTTCTAAACTCTTGTTTATATGTATATCACTACATGCTTTCTGAATCTGTTGGCTTAGAAAGAGGATATTTTTCTTTTATATTTCTTGAGACACTAACCCTTGATGAAAATATTACTGGAAATACAAAATCCTTTAAATTTAAATTTCTTAAAAATAATTTATTTTACTTTTTTATCGAATATAGGGAGTTCTTGTTCGCACTATTTAAATGGAGTTTTGTTTTTATTCTTTATAGCATTCGAGTATGTTTTTTTTTGAAATTATTCTAGAGTTTTAATTTTAAACTAAAACTATTCAACTTAAAACAAAATTCATTTACCTCAATTTTAAGCAGTGATTTTTATACTGTATTCAACGAATTTCGTTTGGGTTCAATTTTGTTTTATCTGAATATGCTTTTTAAGTCTGCTTTTAACTTTATATATAAACTATGTCCACAATATAAAATTGTGTTTTTTATTCTGGAATATTTTAGCTGCTAAATATCACGAAAATATTTCTCAGTGTTATTATAATAATCTCAGTACCATTGCTTGTAACACTGTTTTGTTTTAAATTTTGAATAATAATGGATTCAATTATCTTCAAGGTTTTCATGCGTACTAAAAGAGATTGTTTCCCATTTTGAGCATTTTACTTGAAAATTTACTGTTAAATCGTTATATATTGACATATTTCTCCGTGAAAATTGTTTTATATTATAGATAATGGGTGATTTCGCAAAAAAAGCTTATGGTTTCAGTTTCATGTCAATAAGATTAGGTCTTTGTCTTCCGTCCAGATGTGAACTAGAAGATGTTAACAAAATTGTTAAGCTAGGTAAGAATCAAAATATTTTCTATTGCATTAAATTTAAAATATTTGCATGTATTTGTCGTTGCTTTAATTTAACATTAATTAATTAATCTCTTCAACTTATAAAAACATAAATTATTTTAATTTGTTCAAATTAGCCAATTTCAGCAAACTTAAGAATATTTTAACTAAGATAATTACAGGTCCTCTGTTACAACTGTCATAAATTATTTATTGAAGAATTTAATAGCAATTACTTTTCTAAATAGCATGTGATTTGATTCTTATATAATAAGCAAAGTAATGACGCATGACGCTCTGTGTTTATCTTAATATGAATTAAAACATCAGGAATTATTCCCAGTGTGATAAATAAACTGAAACTTGCATTGTTAGGTATATAGCACCTCAGCTGTTTTTACGCAGTATTATATGAGTAAGAGAAGAAAAGCGATATCTCAGTTTGGTCCAGGAAGGGCTCGAATTCTATGCCACTCAGCAGGAATAAAAATCATATCTACTATCTACTATCAATATCTAATTTCTGCTCGCTACTCTCGCATTTTTAATAAATAAAAACAGTTTTTCCATTTTCATCAACTTTTCTTACACTGTAGTCATAGGAGAATTAATTATGTTACAACCGGATTACGAATTTAGTCATTTCGTCGATGCTTTAGTTTCGGTTAGTAAGAACGGACTACAGATATAGGTTAGATAATCCTCGTGTGCTTTTTGGTATTCAATTAAATAAATTAAACAAATGTAAAAGTAACTAAAATTATATTATTATTAAAATTTTATTTAGAAAAAAGTACAATTTTGGTTCGCAAACACCTTAGATCATTCACAAATTGATTCACGAGAAAATTTTCCCAAAGAAAATGTCTTGGATAACAAACGATGTCTCAAGATAGAAACAAGTAAATCGGCAACAAATGATTCTCCAAAATGCAGTTAATGCAGTGGCATAAACGTCTTCAGAAAAAGAAGATGGAAGGGAAGACATTCTTAGTTATTAGATCTACGAGATTCGTGCAGACAGGGGAAAGATGCAAAAGTTCACGCAACATTATCACCTTGTAAAGCAGCAGTAATATAAATATTTGCAATGGGAATTTCCTGTTTTGCTTTAGGAACGGTTTCAAATATAGACAGAAAGGAAAATGTTTTCATAGAAATAGAAATGTCTATTAATGCATGCAGTGAAACATGCAGTGACCTAATAAACATAGCAAAATGCCTTCAGAAGAACAAGACGAAAGAGGAGATAAACTTAGTTTATAAGGTATTTTCTCCCTTCTTTCCTCGTGCCTTCGTGGTGTAACTGGAAGTATTCTCGTTCGAAAGGTCCAGTGTTCGAGTCGCGAGAGCATTCCATACTTTTCACGTCTCTTCCTAAAAAAAAAAAAAAAAAAAAAAAAAAAAAAAAAAAACTAATGACTTTGCAAGTTATTTGCAGAAATATCTATGAAGCACTGAGAAGATTTACCTATGTGTTCTGGAAACCTGTCTGATGTCATACTTGGACGAAAACTGCGATTACCCCTTTGAAGATGACTGTCAACCGGCTCATCAATACAGAGACATTACCGTGATCATCTGCGACAGTGTCTCAATCAGGAATTTCACACAAAGAGAGAGACCATCTGCAAAAGAATACTTGAGTCAAAACTTGCCAATGAGGTGGATAAGATGCATACGATGAGGAGATGAGAAATTAATACGAGGACCAACTTCAGTCTCCCTATGTAATTCTATGCTTTTCTTGTAGGGATTCATTAAGAATATTATCTTTTCCCTCCATTCCCCCTTAGGATCTTTGCAAATATATTTCGGATAATGTCGTTACGATCGACAGTGATATACTGATTGTAGATGAATTCAGATTACCATCCAAATCATGATCTGATCTTAGCTGGCGTATCAATGAAGGTGGACATATTCAGAATATGCGAAATGAAAAAAAAGAAGTATTAAAATTCTCTCTGTTTCAGTAAAATAAAATTTCTCAAAAATGGCCTAGTTTATTTGTTAAAAATATTTTAAATATTTCACATAATTACGAAACATTCTGTGTTATCAGAAATACATCAGAGAAGACATTAACATAAAACTCTACTCTATCTATTTAACAACCTTATGTCATTTAAAGGTCGTAAAGATTTAGAATAAATTTATTTGAAAATATTTAATTTTTAGCTTTCAACTTTATTCTCATATTTTAATTAAATTTTCATATATTTGTACACTATTACTGTAAATTTGAATCTGAAATGATTTTGCCTTTTTTATGTTAATTCACGTATATCCGTATTTTATTATATACAGCAAGGAATTTGTAATCATTAACATTACACTTTAAATATCCCCAATTTTTAGATTAACGTTTATGGCTTCTTTTTTCCCAGTGGGTGACATGATCCATTTTGATGCGTTTATTTCAAGATGTGAAATGAAAGAGGAAATAAGCTTAAACAAAGTGGAAATCTTTGCGATGTGAGTGGATTTTAATTTCGTAATTATTACCTTTTAATATATGTATTGAAGCAAAATTCAGTCCCACACAAAGTGCTCATTTAATTTTAGAACGATTCCCGAACCGTTTAATTAACACTTAAACTACAAATACTTATTATTTAAATGTTTCATAATGATGGCATTCCCTCAACACTGTAAGTCTGCAATATGCTTTCTATCCGTCTTTGCAGAGTCTATCAAGTGCTTATAGTAGATTGATTTGCGCTTTGAAAGAGCCTTTTTCTCAACAGGCCAAATACATAATAAGTAAAATAGCAAAGGACATAAGTCACAAAACATAAGTTGAAAAAATATACATATATTACTTGTATCAGTCTTCATTCTTTCGAAAAATGCGGTGATAAGTTTCCAAGAATACGACTTTTGGCTTTGTCTCTTGTTTTATTCTTTAAAATACGTTGGAGTATAAAAACGGTATTCTTCTGTAATTATTGAACGTAAATGTTTACTCAGAAAGATTCCTCATCTTTAAGCTCCAGTTGTAGAAAAATTGTAGTAGGTGCAAGTGTTAATGCACAGTTTTATATTTTCTGCCGCTTAGGAAATCGTTTGAAACCAGACTTCGAGAATTCCATTTCACATATATTGACGTTTGGATCAAAATCACTTTGCTTTCTAAAATAATAACTATCCCCAAATTGAAGGATTTAGGTGTGGTAACCCCTGTTCAGTACTTGTCCAGTACGATTTCAAGCATTATTTTGGGGTCGAATTCTTTAAAAAACTATTTTTTCAGATATGGACTTCCTACACACTGGTGACCCGTTTCCGCCTTTTGACGGTAATAAAGAGATTTAAATCATATTTTATGTGTTTTAAATTTGATCAATCCAGCCAGTTCATATTATTTGAAACTGAATCTTATTATTCCCTTCCTTTTTTTCATATTCTAACCCCTCGCTATAAACGAGACTTTACAGCTACTGTTTACCGCAAGTATTTTCCGTTTATTTTTTTTACTATACTAAATATTTCAACTTACTAAACAAAACAAATGGCTCCTTTTTTTCGCTTATGTACATGGTACTCTCAGGGTTTGTTCTTCGGAACCTGCTGATGACATATTTATATTTTCCGGCAATTATAAAGAATATTTAATCATTATCTTATATATTATGGATTAGATTGCTTTAGTTATTCATTTCACGTTTGCTACTCAGTCTGATAATTCCCTTCCTTTTCCTCATATTATAATCATTTGCAATAAACTTGATTTAAGAACTGCTATTCACGGTAGACTATTTTCTGTTTGATTGCCTCACTATGCTGAATTTTGTGATCCTGCTACCCTAACAATGGCTTCTTATGTATACGACTAACCATCCAAAATGCAGCAAGAAGGACAACCAGATATCAAAGCTAAATTTATTTCAGAGATTTACGTGTTAATTAGTTTGAAATAAATCCTTCTCTTGGGTGAGGAAGACAAGAAAATGAGTAATGAGTTTTGCCTCCACGTTTGGTCAATAACCACTGCCAGTCATCGCGGCAATGAGTGAAATAGGCTATGGATATGGTGTTGTGGAATGGCAGTCCAGGATGCCTCTACGTAGCTAAACTTCATCTGGTGCACCCACTGATGAACTGGCCGCTGGGCTAGGCGTTCTGCAACCATTGACCAAACATGTTCGATTATGGTTAGGTCTGGCAAAACGGGCAGACCAGGTTAGTCAAGAAGTTTTTAGTCCAGTTGGCTAAGAAGAACGCTTGGACATTGCGTGCTACGTGTCGTCAAGTACAGCTTGTTGAAATGTGGCAGCCCTAAAGGTAAGGAAGGAGAACAGGCTGAAAAACCTTAGAGATAAACGTTGGCTGGTAAATGAGTCGATAATATGTACTAGGGGTCGTGCGAATGGAATCTAATACCACTCAACATCATAACACTGGGGACAGGGGCCAGTATGACTGTGTATATCACAACAGTCGAGCAGCTTTTCTCCACCGTCTCTCCAAACTCTAATCTAACCATCGTGGTACTGCACGACGAAGCTTTGGTTCATCCGAAAACACAATGTCTTCATTTCCGCCATTCCGTGCACCATTGCAAACGCCTGTGGTAAACGTTTAAGCGAAACATTGAACACTTAACGTACAGTCCATCGTACGGTAAACGAAGTCGAATTTTTCCTGCAGACACCGATTGTTGTGTCACAGATTGCATTCGCTGTGATACGGTTACGGATGTGGCAGTGCCCTCTATGAGTCCTATGCGCACAATATGCTTCTCTAGGAGTTAATGAGGCGGTTCCTATTGCTCCTGCCCATCAGTCGTTCCCATCTCCATCCACCGATTCCACACTCACATGACTGTTGCTCAGCTAGGTCCGATATATTGACCTGTTTCCTGGGAAGGATAATCCACAATCTTTGTATGCAACAATTCTACCTCGGTCGACCGCATTAACGTGCTCAAATGTTGCTCGTGTTTTTCTATAAGGCAAACTTCTCGTTATTCAAAATGGCAGTTTTTCCTTTTTTCATATACGGATTTTAAGGAACACTGCAGTCGCCCACTATATGCAGGTGTGAAGTTATAATCATTTGCATATTTAATCGCAGTATATACATGATGCAAGCTTCATGCTGTTTGGATATTTGCTTCCCGGTGTTGCATTTTGGATGACCAGCAGTTTATATCGTGCTAAGAATATCTGCTTTCGTATGAACTCAGTGACCTGAAACTGGCTGCCGGTAGCAGAGTATTTTCTCCCCCAGTCATTGCTAAAGCCCTTAAATATTTTTCGTTCATCGTTCGGTGTTTTTGAACATACTGCAGACTAAGAGAGCGGTAAAACGGCATATCAAAAAACATGGAACTTATGTTCGAGAAAGAGAAATAAACAAATCTTCAATGACTAATCATAATGGGAATTCACTCAAAATTTTGATTTTGGTTTCCATGAAGATTTTCTCATTCACAAAATTCATCTAAATTAATAACATAATTTAATCTTAACATTTTCAGAATTCTTATGCACTAGTTTTCCACGTTTCCTTACTATTTTTCTCGAAAAAACGGCTCTGCATTAGTTTTCGCTTTGTTCTACACCTTGCCCCCCCCCATCCAAGTAGAATATTTCTCGCTCTTCTCGTTTACGCTAAAATGGTTTTCGCCCCTGCAGAAGAGGATTCGGTAGAATTTTATTCAAAGCGAAAATAAGGTTGCTTTTTTGCTTAACCATAAAATTTATATTGGCGTGTTTCTCTTCCCCCCCTTTTTTTTTTACTTCCTTGTACGAAGTAAAAAGAAAGTATTGAAATCGCGAAAGATTTCGAGAAAAATATTGCATGCCGATTTACTAAAGCCATAAAAACCTTAACCGGAAGATAAGAACAACATAATTCAAACGTTTTTAAAGCAAAAAATGCACAATTTACAAACATAAGAATAAAGAAACAGATCACTGAGCCGAGTAACAGAGTGAATATATAGTATATACATATATTTATATACTTTTGGTGCGGCCACCCGCAACCAAAATTCGCGATGCACATCTACATGATATAGAAGTTTTATATACAAATTTTCAACATCTACTCGTTTTTGAGTTATGCGAGATACGTATGACGTACGTATCTCGCATAGCTCAAAAACATCTGTATGTACGAACGTACAGACGCCACGAAAAAATCTCTACATATTCATTTTAAATTAGGTTTATTCTGTCCTTACGTGCAGATGTTACGCAAAAAAATCGTTAAATTGAATTCGATAGCGGTCAAAATGGATATTTTCGTTGAAATATGATACGGAAAATTTTTTGCGATTACAATACTTCCTTTTTATTTAGTACAAGGAAGTAAGAAGTATAATTTATTTGTTTGCTATTCTTCTGATTGTTCTTATTCAAAAGATTAAAGAAATTCGAAAACCTTTAAAAATTTGGATTCGCATTCAAATTCAACAAAATTTACGATTTATCCCGTCTTTAGTTTTTAAGCTTAAATTTATAGAAAATAAAGCAAATTCACAAGTTTAAGTTCTTCAAGTTTTGAGTTTAAAGCCCATATCTATAAATGAATTAGATTGAAACTGGACCTTCAACTGATACTTCAGAAGCATCTAGCTCACAGGTGGGGTGACAAACCTATTGCGTCACTTCCGAAGTCTTTAGTCTCTGGATATTCATGAATATCTATACTTGATGTTCTGGTGTTTATAAATGTTCATCGACATCATGAATGTTTACTTGCAAATGCCAGCAGCATTCTCTTCCTGGTCATTCTTTTCAGTCTGTGTAACCGCCAGTTCGATGTGTTAATAAATACATTTATTTAAATTTTACGAACGTCGTCCGACTATTTTCTACGGTTATTCAGAGATCGGTTTCTACGGTTATTGGTATTAATAGCGTAACCGTAAAATTAAAAATCCACGTCTAAGAACAATATTTATGGCCATAAAGCCTGTAACCATCGTTTTTTAGCATCCTGTAAATTATGTTATATGCTATAAATAATTGTGCCGCATTTGCTTAAAAGATACATAAAGAACAAAATTGACCTGATGTAAATTTTAAGCTAATTTATTCAAGTCACGAAATAAAGAGACTTTGAGTTTCAAATATTAATAATTTCTTTCTGTATATGATTTTGAGATAGGCAAATATATTAAAAATTTCTCATTTCAGTACGCTTTATGCTCTTTTTGGATTATTAGTGTTTCTTGGCACATCGTTTGACATCTATTGTTCCAAGAAGAAAATAGTTTTTCAAAGTAAGTGTTTTCAGTTTATGTATGAAATCAAAAGTAATTATAAATATTAAAGGCAGAATTATCTTTAAAATTGTTTAGGTTTTCATAAAAAAAACTAAATATTCGGGAAATATAAGAATATGCTCCTATCTTGTTAGAATATATTCCAAATAGCATGAATTCAATGTTGGGAGGTTTAGCTAACGTTTTTCAAAAACAAAAGATATTTTATTTATATTTAAAACATATCTACATTTAAAGACAAATTAATTAATATCTTTAAAATTTTATACCAGCTTTTGCATCTGTTGTTCATTCACATGTTTGAATCAACCTAATAAATTTCGTGTGACGATTATCTGCTAGAAATCCAATAGCTTTCCTTGTAAATTGTAAAAGTACATAATAACGATCTGAAAATAAAATAAGGTAAAGTAAATGCTGTCTTTAACACCAAAAATGCTTATTTTTCCTTATAGTACTTTTTATGCTTTCTTCAGACTTAAAATTCTACGCGTAATCATTTTAAAACTAAACAAATGGTAATTTTAAACTTGCAAAGAAAGAAAAAATGAGCTATATGAGATTGTGTGAATCCAAACAAAATTATTAAAATTTATCGAATCGTTTGGCAATCGACTTCAAAATTATTGTCGTATTTTCGCATTGTGTCGCCGATTGCAAAAGAAAGACTGACAGAGTATTGTTGCTTACATTTAAGGTTCTGATAATACGACGATTGATTTTTGCATTTAATTATATACTTTTTTCTGTACTTAATTTACACAGCTTTACGAAAATAATTTGGTATCTCACGTGAGGCAAAAAAAATTAACATTTATACCATTGATTTGGATGAGTTTATTTTCCGCATAGTCGAAAAAGCTATATTTCTTTATTTTACCTATAGAGATCTTTTTGAAGAGCAGCATGGTCCAGTTACCCCATTCATTCACGCAAGCTTTTCAAATACCACCCATCGCTCTCACGTGGGATCTTCTATTTGCATTGGAAAACGAAGGACACTAAAATTCCATGGATGAAACTTCGCGTATTTTAAATAGAATGTAGCTAGTTATGCAACATATATACCACATCTTTTCACTCTTTGTAGTTTAAAGACACCAGTGAATGTGATTGTGCTGCTAGGTAATTTGTCTCTGAAGACTACTAGTTTTCATTCTATCATATACTAGTTATCATTCATATCACTTGAAATTTTTCAATTGATAAAAGTTCACGAACTTAACTCGGGCAGGGTTTCAAACTGAGTCTAACATCCGAATTCGCGCATACCAGAAACACACAACAATAATAAAAATTTTGGAGAAATAATTTGGATTCCCAAATTAGAAATTTTTTTGAACGCTAGTCTATATTTTATTGTTTTTCAAACCTAAATGGCGCATCTTCATCAAATACCTTTTTACACGAAGCAAATGGAAATTGTCCTCCAAAAAGGCTTCGTAAAGCTTAAAATCTTTCGGCTACCTTTCCAAAATGTGCTTTTCGGTCAGCATTGATGAACTTATATTTTACCTTTTACGAGAAGTTTTGTCAAATTATGGAATTTTATTGCTGTTGGTAACAATATTCCGATGTATATAGTTACTTTTGAGTTTAATTACTCTGCCCTCGGATGATTTCTTTTACCCTGAGAATAAGTCTGAAACCCGACTTGTTGACTTACCCATATGACTTTCTTGCGCTTTAGTTACACAAAATGCCTCTTTATACAACCATGAATATATTTTTTGAAAATAATAGTTAAAATACTTTTCCTGCGTTCCATAGAATTTTCTGATAACTATAATCTTTGTTATCGTAAAAGGTTTTACAGCCATTCAGGAAATGGTTAATTTAAAGCTATATTCAAAACTAATAGAAACTGTCAGTTTAATCTGTCCATTATAAGGCAAAATTCAGAAACAGTGTCCCATAAAGCGCTTTTGAAGCGAAATTCAGTATATAATTAGACATACATGCAAATTATTTTGTGTTACACTTTTTTTGGAATTGTTTACATAAGGATATAATAACTTACGTTAGCTGAACCACGAGAAAGTATTTCTGGAGTAATTTATGAAGGCAACGGATTCCCAAATTTTTATGTTAATTTGCTAAATGGTTCTAAACTCTTTTCTATAGTTCTTCTGCATTAAATATAAGACATTGAAATTCTTGTTAATTTTTCATTCACAGTATTAATATGATTATCAGTATTATATATTTGATGCAAGAAGATCGTTACTAAAGAAAACCGACCTCGTTCAAAAGGCCGATTTCGGCTAAAAATCTCAATTTGATTTATTTAACATTTTTACAACCCGCATTCTTAGGTATCAAAAGCAACTATTATTTTTTTATTAGAAGTGGAGATATACCAGCTTTTCTGAGAGACGAAACACCGGAAGTTATTGTCCGCCAGTTCAGAAGCCAAAGTTTAAAGAGCACTAAAAGATGCAGTTCTCATCCTTTTTTAAGATTTTTTAAAATTAAATTAGTTTAAACATTTCAATATATCTGGAGAATCTGGCAAAGTGTTTTCATTATTTATTTTCTCATTTTCGTTTGACAACGGGAATAGTTGTTATCATGTAACGTGTTAATCTGAAAACTTTAAGAGGGATATTTGTTTAATTGTTCTTTTTTATGATTTATGTTCACAGCAACCATGGTAACTCTAAAAGCTTCTTATAGAACCATTTGAAATTTTTGACACAGGATTTACAAATTATTACGCATGATGTGGGGTAGGCGTAAGTAATTTGAATTATATCAGTTTTCTTTCAACGGTGTATAAATTCTTTTTTAAACTTTTGAATGTTGACTGATATTGGCCATACATTACATTTTTTCTCCCTTATTTTAGTTCATTGTATACTTATGGTTAGTATATACAGAAGCTGAACACTATTTTTATGACGATTTTGCAAAGATTGATATATAAACAAACCTTAGAATTTTATTTTCTAATATGTTCAATCTTATAGTCCGTTGTGCTATCATATTACATCTTGATTTCTAAGGTAAAAGTCCTTTTCTTAAAGCATCAGAGTTGATTATATTCCACTCCTCCTTCACAATCTTCTAGAGTCCATCCAATTTTTGCCATGCTGCTTATAAAGAGCTCGTTTTAAAAGTCCAAATGTATAGTAATATATAGGAAGCACATCAGGACACTTGGGTAGGATACATTTAAAGGCAATATCTTTAATTCCGGTTTCATTTCTCATTTTTTCAAAAAATAAAGCAGTAGATTTAGAGGTATGGCTTGGAGCCTAATGCTGATGAAATTTAACACCGTGAAGATTGTTTGGATAAAGAAATGCAATTTCTTCTTTAAAAACAGATGTTAAAACATATTTCTGATAGTAATCTGAATTAATTTTGAAGTTTTCCTTATTTTAAGTTTTCTGTTATCTAGTAATAACCATAAACGCTTTAGAAAAAGTTTCCTTGTTTTCCATGAATCAACATATTAAACCTATTTCGCCTCTTTTTGATAGTAAATCGATATTTTCTCTATTGCAATCAGATAAGTATATCCAAGCGTCATCAACTGTAACCATACGAGTATATTTCCATATTTTACCAGCCAAATAATTTCATACAGCAATCTGCACATAGTCTTACGCTGAGAAACATGTTTCGGTGTTAGGTGACGAACATCATGTTTTTTGTTTTGATTAGCTTTAAATCAGATTTTATAATTTTGTTCACATTTCCTACAGACATATTTAAAAATTTTGCAATAGCTCTTTGCCAGATTTTATAATTTTTGTTCACATTTCCTACAGAGATATTTAAAGATTTTGCAATAGCTCTTTTACGGGCTGTATTTTCCTTTAAAACATGAGATGCGACTTTAGATTTAATAAGGATCTGTCCGTACTTTTCATGGATATGCATTTTTTGCCATTTTCACAGTCAGATGTAAACTTTGACGTTTCCTTTCTTTCATATGAATTGCATCACTTATTTTACGTGTGTAAATATTAAAACTATGCTTTTTATATCTTTTTTTGTAATTGAATACGAGTATTTCTCTTCGGACAGCGCAATAATATAGCCTTAGATTCACTGTTTATTTTTCAGCAACATTTTAAAGAAAAGAATATTTTTAAAGCTGCAGACGATAACTAAACGTTATTCCAATTGGATGCTAGTCACATTTATATTTTAAAATTAAAACTAAAATTCATGGAGAAAATCAAAATCGTTACAAAAATGTGTGAACACTCTCTGTATAACATAATCAAAATGTTTTTTAATCTTGATTATTTTCTTGTCAATCAATAATGGTTGTTATTTTTATTCGATTTAGAATTTAAAAGTTTCTGCCTAAATTTCACAAAATAAAGAATTTATCACTTTTGTAGTAATTATATTTATGCCTGAATGCAATCCAATAAAGAATTTCATAAATTGAGAAATGTAATAAACATTTTGAAAAAAGTCCTTTGAACCAGGTGGTCGGTTAGCAAATTAATATTAATATGAGGTTTTTGAATGTATTCCATATTCATAATATTCACATTCATAATCATTAGCGAATCCGGGTATTAAGGTAATAATTACCATCATAACATTCATTCCCAACTAACGAGTCGGAATAATGCAGATAAACGGATTTTATAAAGCATGTGGGTTAACTTCCAGTAAAAAGATAAGCATATTTACTAGAATTTTAACAAATCTTAATTCTGAATAAATGTTTTTCAGTACTATTATCAAAAAATTCAAATTGCCTCTACTTTTCAGACACTAGCAGCAGAGTTCTTTTGGCATTTTCCTTACCAGCTAATTTCAAAAAATTGATGGATACCAAGACCAGCTCCTTTAATTTATCATGCTTGCATGGGATTAAATTCTTTTCCTCTACATGGGTTTTACTGGGCCATAATTACTTCGTCATCAACTTCTATTTATTAGGTAACTATTCTACTGTTAACTTGAAATCTCTTGAAGAATAATTGATTTTCATCAGGCTATTTGTCATTCAATAAATTCAAAGATTGTACCCAAATTGTGAAACACATAATTCTTTTATACTTCATATATTCTTAACCTCTGTCTAATAATGATTCAGTGATGTTTAAACTCGAACATAATTTAAAACCTCTGAAATTGGTCATTTTATGATTTTTTATATAGAATATTAAATTAAATGTTGTTGTGTTACATTTTTCTGCAGCCGAAGACAGAAAATTATAAAATGATGGAATGTTGATATTATGTTCTACTTATTAGCGCGCCAATATTTTTACACTTCTCAGTGGTAATGAGATTACTAATAAAATATCTATTGATTGAAATATCAGGGGGATATTTATTAGCATAATAGTAAGCTGCAAGTTGACATTTTTTCTGACAATACAGCTAAGTATTTATTAGCAAGCAGCAGAAGTTATGGATATTTTATTAGCAATCTTCTTGTGTTACCCGGTTTTTTACAATTATATTTTTTTATCACAGCAATATAAAATATTTTTTTATTTCTTGCAAGCAGCATAATTTTTGTTTGAATAACTTCAGTATAGAAAGCGCTTTCACCGACTTTTACAAATATCATCGTTACAGATTTTTGCACTCCTCAAAGAATTTGGTCAAAAATTAAAGAAAAGTGTTAATTCTTAATTATACCAATGGCCCAGCTCTTTTAAACTCCGCTAAACTAACATTATCGGTGACGCAAAAGCATTTTTTCGGATTAAGTGCTCCTCAAAAATAAGAATGCATTTTGGAGCGAATATTGCTGCAATCTTTGTAAAATTTCGTGATAACATGAGAATATTATATTCTTCAGAAATGTAAGAGAAATGTCTTTAAATTATAAAAAATCCATAATAGCTTAAGGGGACTCATACACCTTAAAACCCATAAGATGTTCGAATAGGTGACTGTTGCAAGAATTGGGATTACTTATTTATTTTAAAAGCAATTACTATCAACGTTTTACAGCTGACTACATAGTATAGCTAAATAATAATTTCTGAAATAGTAATCAGAAACTTTGTGTTGCCACAAATATTTTTATAATTTAATCTGCTTTGTGACAACATTTTTCATCATGTTTCCAACTTGCGCGCACAGTTTAAAACATTCTGTTTCATAATTTAATTCCATATTTAATATATAGCTTTTATAACATTTGGAAACTACTGTGAACCTAAAATTTTAAAAATTTCATTTTAAATTTTTATTTTCTTTGGAGTTGAGTTTATAAAAAGTATTTTTATTAACAAAATTTGTAATGTTTCGTCCATAAAATTTTTCAATATAAATTTCATCGGATGTTATTTCGTTAGAAATATGTCCATATAAGATTCCATCAAATTTCAAGTAGTATGTACCATTAGCCATTTTTAAAAATATCATGCGCGCAAGGTGGAAACATGGCGAAAATATTTTGTCACAAAGAGGATTAAATACACAAAATATTTGTGGCAACACAAACTTTCTGGTTACTATTTTCCAAAGCAGTTATATTATGTAGTCAGCTGTAAAAAGTTGGAAGTAATTGCTTTTAAAATAAATAAAATATCCCAATTCTTGCAACAGTCACATATTCTAAGATCATGAGGGGTTTAAGGTGTAAATGAAAACTGCTTTGTAACAAGCTTTGAATTGTAACAGCAAGAAAATGAATTCATAGTTCATGAAAGCAACAGTAACTTTTACGTAACTAAAATTTATAATAATTCTTTACAACATTTTTTATTTTATAATGAGAATCATAAAACCAAATGCTGAGATAAAATTTATTATAAAATCCGTATAAATGTATTTTAAATTAAGCAGTAGTAAGAAGAAAATTAGAGACTGCATAGAATGTTTCAACTCCTATTAAAGTACCGTTATGTTTTTAAACGCTAGCTGTTTGATCAGCCAGCCTAAAATAGTAATTACATGTAAGTATGTATATATGTGTGTAAGTAACAATAATTTTTATGAATCTAGGTAGTGTTATTGCAAAAAATATTTAAAGATGTTTATTATAAACTTATAAACCAAAAGTACTACTTTAAAAATTATTTTAAACAAGAAAATTGTATATAATGAGTTTTAATTTCGGTACAGCGGGTAATTTCATTGAATTCAGTAGCAGAATTTTTGTATTTTTTATTACACTGATTTAATCAACAGATCCGACACAACGGTTATTGTATAATTTTATTAATATGAAAATTGCTTTTAATTACGCTCTGAAAAATGTTAAAAATGAAGCAAAGTACTTTAGAGTAGTTTAATTTCTCAATGTATTAAAGCATTAAAGCAACTTATTATTTAACAATTAAATATAAAACATGAATTATGAATCGGTATATATTACAAATGTTCACATTAAATTTTATTTAGCTTTTTTTCGTTAAAAACATAAATACAACAAAATGTATTCATTAGGAAGTAACGTGTGCGGTCTTAACGGTATACGCGCGTTAATTCTCGCTTGTTTAAATTTATTATCTTTTTTTTTATTTTACAGATAATTTGAACAAAGTGTTAGACTATTCCAGAGATTTCGCATTCCAAGCAATAGTCAATGCTACTTATGTAGTTGATACTTTCTTCTGCATTGGGTAAGTTATGAACAACAGTAAACTTTTATTATTGTATTTTAACTTTTCCTATTTCCTGGAAATCTCCTGAGATAATATGTCCTAATCGTTTTGTCAACTGGGACTATTTGTCCCAATCACCTAGGATATTGTGATAATAACCTTACATTACATGTGAATAAATAATAAAGTTAAATCAAATGTACCGAATATTTTATTCTTACCCAAAAAAGTACAAGTTAAGTATGATATAGCCTAAAGCAGTCTTTTCGAAGTGCAACCTGATGCAATTCCTTAAAAAACACTGCAAGCATAAAAACCCATTTAAAAAAGAGTTTTTTTTAACCAATAGGGAATGAAATCTAATCTGTGGGACGTATGTGCCCATTAGGACCGAAAGGGTTAAATTGTTGCCCGAATTCAATTTTGATCAGTTTCATGAAGCACGTACTTACGCACGCTAATATAGTTCAGTACTAGCGTGCACGTTTCTGTGTAAATTGAACTGGATATTCGAAAGATTGATTGGATATTCGAAAGATTGGTTGGAGTACTTGCTTAAGAGTACTCCAAAACATTTTGGTACGTTTAGCTCTGAATGCGTTTTTCTCCCTATTGTCATTCTTTTGAGATAGAAAATCAGTTTTCTACTTTCTCAAATAGTTGATAGCAATATTTGTATAACAGCTGGTATGTAACTAATATCCCCACTGCTTTCTGCGAATATTCCCTCAGGACTTTATGCTAAGGTACATAGGGACATAGAAAGACAAAGGCGAACGGACGACGATATTGAATCATTCATTTCGCTTTATGAAAAAATATTCTAAAATTCCAAGATACCAAAAATATGGTATCGAGAAAAAACGAAATCGAAAAAAATGTTTAGTTACCACAAAAGCAACAGACCCAAGTGACCGGCGAGTATCAATTTAATGCATTCATTGGGAGAAACTTAATACTTATATGTCATTTAACCGTCTCATCACCAAGAGCGTCGCCAAAATTGTCCAACAAGGGGCTAATGGATTTTGCACCCTCGTAAATGGAGAAATTCTGCATCGATTTTGACAGAGAATACCTCAGGAGACAGACTGCCATCCATCCTTCATACCGTTAAACCTCTAAAGAGGCCCTGCATCTCGTCAGTACTTTAAGTACCACAACTCAACATAAATTCTATACTTACTAGCATCAAGGTCTTTTTTGGAATTCGAATCTTGGCCTAACATTACAGTAGCCAGCAGAGCTAACCATATACCGACTAACCGTCATACCGTCAGGGAGGCACAATGAAAATACAAAGAGTTTCATATTCATTGGGCGAAGAAAGTATACCTATGAGCGCTGTAATTATTTTATTTTGGTAAATTAAATTTACAGTGAAACAGTAGTTGTCCAACTAAAGATGTTCTATGTTGTGACCCTCCGGTGACACCGAAAGTGTACTATGTATTCGTTTTGTCCTATTCAATAGGAAACCGCCTGTACCCCAACAAAATATTCGAATTAAAACTCAGAAGAATGCATTTCATATTAATTCAATAATTAATTAAAAACAGCAATTTTATTATTATGTTTTTTATGTTTCTTCTTCGACATGCTGAATGTTATGACCTAATACAAACACAATGAGAAGCTAAAAAATGCTAAACATATTCAATGGAATTTCAGCTGAGATGCCTGAAACTCTGCATTGAAATACCACAGAACTTTTAGAATGTTAAGGGTTCTCCATAATCAATGAAAATTTTGTTTCGACACTCGGAGAAAACAGATGTGGTGTTAACGAAGCAGTTGCAATGCTTTTTTAAATAATTTTGATACGAAACATTACAAAATAGCACTGAATAATTCAAGTACTAAAATTATCGGAAAAGGTTAGATAGAACTGTAGGCTAAGCAGTTTTCCCAGTCCGGGACTGTACGTACGCGAAACTTCAAGTGCAAATATTTCGGCTAGAAAGTTCCCACTCAAACTAATGCTGAATGAAGTGTGTTTCTCGGAAAAGTTTCTTAGAGCATCACAAATCGCTGTGCGTTATAATCCCATTACATAGACTATAGCTCTCACCTTGCATAGAAATTAGGCCTAGCGGAGCAGGGAACACCAACAACTGTCTCCATGACGTGTAACATCAGCTATGTCCAAACCGAGATTCAGATCATGAATCTTTCAGTGCTACCTGAACTTGCTACCACCCAACCGTAATAGTGGTTAGCGATGCTGACTGCCGTACCGAAGACCCGGGTTTGAATCCTAGAGAAGGCATGGTTGTTTGTAAATGTATAGTATCTGTGCGGCATGGGGGAACTCTAAACATGGGGCTAGCCAGAAGTCCTTTCGAGATGCTGATGGTGGAGTAACAGGGGTAGGAGACCCTCGGATTCGTCCCTGCGGGGTGCTGTGTATCAAAATTGGGGGGCAGAACTGAGTAAATTCGTAGTGTCATCTGTATGGTGCCACAAGGCTCTGGAGAACGACAGGGGCAATCTTGCAGTCCTTGCCACAATGAATTTCGTGAGCTTGTTCTGACGTTACTGTCAGACAATGAGATAAGTCAGAACAACAACAACGAAAATTCATGCAGAAATTTTTTGTCACTAATTCTTTTGTTTTTCAATAAACGAGCATCGGCACATTTACTTTAATTTACTTAAAAGAATTATACCAAACACACTTTAGAGATGTTATTTATGAACTATAGTAAATTTACATAAATTATGAAACAGAATTTTTTTTCTAAACTTAATTATCATATTTTTTTTTTCCCAGAGGATTATTGGTATCTTACTTATCTGTCAAGCATGTGATAGAAGGTGGTCAAAAATTCAACATTCCACTTTACATATTTCACAGGATTTGGAGGTAAGACTTAACGCCGCTTCAGAAAAATGTGAATCCATTTTACCTATTTCATTTATATTGATGCCCACTAGCAGCCGAGCGGTAAAGGTGCTGAGTACATAGTTCGGTCAAGAGTTTTAATCCCGGTGAATGGTCTGGCTGCATGGGCATTTTCTTAGTTTATCTAATGCATAATGTGTATACAAGTCAGTTTTTCTTATAAAGTCCTCCACGAAAGCATTCCTGCCCTTAGGCAAATAGCCCCCTTCGAGTGCTTTGCCATAAAAAATAAACCAAGGGATTTATATCGAATACAGAAATTCAAAGGCGATGTCATCAGATATGATAGTGATAAAATATTCTTTTAGTTAATTTAATCAGTTTTGACAAAGCACAGGAGGATTATCAGCCAAAGAAACAATGCCTTCAAGGTGGACTTTTTGAGGAAAATTGACTCGTTTTTATATTACACAAGGAGAATGTCACAGAGAAGCTCATGTAGTTTATCCGTCTGCTGCACAGATCTATCAGCATTCAGCGATCTTGTACATTCAATTTCTGTTAGGCCAATAAAAGCTAGAGAAATAATCATCTGAATATGTTGTAACTTTTCTGATAGATGATTAAGAAAATAATACTTCTTTGGGCTAAAATAATTGCTTTCAAAGACAGAATTTGCATGCTTTATTCATATAAATATAGTGCATTTTATAATAATATAGAAATGTTTTGGTGATGCGAATACCCTTCTTGCAAGAAAGGCAGCAGTTGCATCTTTATTTGGTATGTTATTTGCGTTATTTAGAATGTTTTTAGGGAATGATATTTCTAATCGAGAATTCATAACTAATACTTTGGATTTGAGTTTTGTGGAAGAACCTTTCCCCAAAAAAGACTTTTGTTTATTTATATACGCCTTATGTTACACATTCTTGACGAATTAAAATCACATTATCCCTCCCCCCCCAGTTTTGGTTGTCGTAGATGTCTTTTTCCATAATTATTTTAGCTTTGGTTTTTCGGCTTTTTATAGGTTTAAACGAGGGCTGTGGCGTCGGTAGGGAAAATAACTGACACCGACTCCGGGTGTCACTCTTGAAATTTTAAAGACTCCGACTTCCTCATATATATATAAACATATACACATGTGTTACAGCTCAATTTTTTACTTCCTTGTATAGTAATCGCGAAACGTTTCAGGCAGCATATTTCAACGAAAATATCCATTTTGACCGCTATCGAATGCAAAACGATGTTTTTGCGAGATATCTGTACGTAAGGACAGAATAAAAGACTCTTCCTCCCCCCAGAAAAAATTATAAAACTGATTTAAAATTAATTCTGAAGAGAATTTTTCGTGGCGTCTGTGCGTACGTACGTATGTACGTACGTATCTCGCATAACGCAAAAACAAGTAGCTACAGAACGTTGAAATTTTTTATGTAGGACTGCTATAACATGTAGATGTGCACCTCGTATTTTGGTTGCAATCGGCCGCACCAAAGTATATAAATATATCTCAAAATCTAATTCATCAATGGAAGAGGATGATAGAGAGTCAGCTGCAATGTGCATAGTCTAAAAGTCTTGATTTGAATACTCCAGTTATTCTGAGAATAATTTCATTCTTAGTGAAAGTTCAGAGATGACTTTCTTTGCCTTTTTAATTTGTTCTTCATCTACCAAGTTCGGTGTTTTGGATCTGTATATATAGAACACAGCAAGATTTCATTGTCTAATAAATTAGTTTCTCTTTTCTTCATTGAAGAAATGATTCCTTCTGCAATAATCTGTCCCGTTTTAGAAAGAATAAACATCACATTTTGCCATTCTTGCAGAAGCAAGACTTCTGTTAATTCTTCAGATTGTGGCTTTTTTGTGGTTATATATGGTGTAGAAAAAAGAGTTTCCAGTTCTGCAAGATCATTCCACAATCTTTCTACTAGTGAAACATTAGGCTTATCTACATCTTCTGTAAAAGTTCTTAATTCTAACAAACTCTTTATCATCAAAAGTGCACTTCCCCATCGCGTTGCTTGATTAATAATTGCTCCTTTTCCTGCTCGCCTCCTAAGAATGGCATCACTTTTGGGAGTCCTTGCTACTATTGCTGCTTACTTAAATTTAACAATGAGATTTGTAGCATGGGTACTAATGAGCATTTGATGCATTTCCAGCCATAAAATCCTTTTTCTAGTTGTGAATTACGCTACAATAATGCTCTCTTTGAGCTGAAGAAGTAACTAAATAATCAGTTTAATGAATAATGGCGAATATCACACCCATCCTCATCTTTTACATTTATTTATTAATATGTCAATCAAATGGAAAATAAATAAATATTTTTAATGTATATAGTCCATAAATAACCACACTGGAATACTGGGTAATGAAATTGCAGATGCAATAGCCAAAAGAGCAGCAACTGACCCCCACGTTCGCACACTTGACATGCCTCTCCCGGGTTCGTTCTTAAAAGCTGAGCTCGAGAGAGAATTACTCAAACGTTGGCAACATCTCTGGGAGACAGAAACCACCGGCAGAAGAGTTTACAGATTTTTTCCAAAAGTCTGCCGTCTTCTAAAATCTGGCTCGTCTCACTTCACTCAGTATCTAACAGGACATGGTCCCTTCATGACTTACTTGCATCGCTTCAGACGACGCAAAAACGAGCATTGCTCATGCGGGATGGTAGGAGATCCGGACCACTATCTGTTCGCTTGCAGAGAGACCGCCAAATATCATCTTAGGCAACCAGTAGCAAACCACATCCATGCATGGGCCGAAGCTACTTCAAAAAATCGCAATGCATTGAAACGCGTATGCGATTGCATAAACATGGCACGCAAAATCTCAGACAGGCTGGAGTAATTCTCAGCCACCATCCTCGTCACCAGCATAGCCCCTGTATGCTCTGTACCTGTAGTGAACTAATTTTATCTTAAGTTAGCTTATTCGGCTTTTCTTATTCCCTGTATATATTTATCTCCTTGAACTGTAAACCTTGAATTATGAACCTTGAACTATGTATTTTGCCTCATTTTATCTATTGTTTCCACTGTTTTGCCTTTTTTTATTTTATGTATTGTTTTACTTTCTAGTATTTTATTTCTTATTACTTTTAGTATTTGTAACCACCTATCCATTACTCTGTAAATATGTAACTGGAATTGTTCTTCACGCCCGCAATGCACCCTTCTTCCATCTTGCACTATCGTCTTCGTCCAGCATTTGTTTGCACTGCCCCCAGCAGTCGTCTTGAGCACAATATGTATTTATAAGTGTGTCTTTTGTTCAAGTTATTTCCGTCAGCGGGGCTACCTGGCCGATATGCTAACTACCCAGTGGACCGGCTGCCTCGCTGTCGGTGGAAAGAAAGAAAGAAAGTCCATAAATAAAAATAATATCTCCTTTTGTCATTCATGTTTTTTCAATTTACTTTAATTTCATTTCAAATTTAAACTGTCTATTAAAAGCTGGAGTCGGAATCGGAGTCGACGTGTTTCTAGGTGACTCCCACTCTAACTCCTTTTACAAAAATATTTGCCTAACTCCGATTCCGACTCTACACCGCTGGTTTAAACTATGAATTTAGATTTTAATTAGTCTTTGCTTCTCTGTGGTTAAAGACAAAATTTCCATTTCGCTTGATTAAAACTTATCAAATCTATTCAAAATCTCGCATTATTTATTTCATTACTCTGCTTATTTTAATATGCAAATATCAATCATTTTAGCACGTTTTTATTGGAACTATATAGATTCTTTTATTTACAATACTTTCAGGGTTATGCCATTGACACTGATTGCAATGACGATAATGCTTTTGGTAGAGAAATTTGGTTCTGGGCCTATTTGGCATGAAACAGTACACGATTATGTTCAAGACTGCTACGATAATTGGTGGAGTTCTCTAATATTCATCAGCAATTTCTACAAAACAGAGAATATGGTTTGTATGGAAAAATTATACCATGTTTTTAAAGCTGAAAAGCATGTTTTTCTTAATTACAAAAATATTATTATCATTCATATTATAATAAAGTTAGGTTATTTGATTGATTGGTTGGCTTTAGATTAATGGCAAAGAACACTCACGCTATCTGCCTAAGGGGAAAGATGCCTTAAGATTTTTCTAAGGAAAACTGACTCGTATAACGTTACACACAGGGAAAAACACGCAAACGTCCATGCAGCCAGCTCCTTCACCTAGAACACAATCCAGGTCGAAACCACCAATATGCAGCCATTTCACCGATCAGTCGCTGGTGAACCCCTAGATTATTTAGATACAGCAAAGCATACGAGGGCTATCTACCTAAAAAAAAGGCTGCCTTCAAGCAGGACTTTTTAATAGGAGACTAGGGATATCCACCTAAAGAAAGGGCTGCCTTCAAGTAGGATTTTTTAATAGGAGACTACGGCTATCCACCTAAAGAAAGGGCTGCATTCAAGCAGGACTTTTTAATAGGAGACTACGGCTATCCACCTAAAGAAAGGGCTGCCTTCAAGCAGGACTTTTTAATAGGAGACTAGGGCTATCCACCTAAAGAAAGGGCTGCCTTCAAGTAGGATTTTTTAATAGGAGACTACGGCTATCCACCTAAAGAAAGGGCTGCATTCAAGCAGGACTTTTTAATAGGAGACTACGGCTATCCACCTAAAGAAAGGGCTGCCTTCAAGCAGGACTTTTTAATAGGAGACTAGGGCTATCCACCTAAAGAAAGGGCTGCCTTCAAGCAGAACTTTTTAATAGGAGACTACGGCTATCCACCTAAAGAAAGGGCTGCCTTCAAGCAGGACTTTTTAATAGGAGACTACGGCTATCCACCTAAAGAAAGGGCTGCCTTCAAGCAGGACTTTTTAATAGGAGACTACGGCTATCCACCTAAAGAAAGGGCTGCCTTCAAGTAGGATTTTTTAATAGGAGACTAACTCGTATTTGGGTTACATATGACAAAAATCCACAAAAACAAACCATACAGCCAGCATCTTCGTTTAAATTCGAGCTCGGTTTGACCTACCAGTATTTAGGTCATTGATGAGACCTGAATATTGATATTCGGTCATTGGTGACACTCCCAATTTTAATAAATTAACGTAGCAGTAATATTTCTTTGAGTAAAAGTAACCCTTTTAAAGGTCAGTTTAAAGAAAACAAAACTTGGCAATGCATCACCTTTTGATTCTTCTGTTCGGGCTTTCAACAAATTGTTTTCATATGATATACTTTATATTAAAAAAGTATTAATATTAAAATCACCAAAAATCATAATTTAATTTATCTAATCAAGTATGAGGCTTTGTAATTAAATGTAAAGCCATTTTCACAGTATGTATCAGAGTCATTAAGATTTCTTCAAAGATTGCTTATATTTGCTTTAAAGAGCGTCCATAAAAATAATGATGCAGATGTACCATTATTTTGTAAAGTTTCATTCGTTCATGTTTTCTAAATGGGTTTACTATGACAGTTCAGTATTGGTTAACGTTACCCCCACTTTATTTATATCAGAGGGCAATACGACTTAACTGACATATTGATTGCAGTGACGTAAATTATTGTTACGTTTTTTTTTTTTTCTGACACCAGTCGTTACGTTGTTTTCTTCCTTAACATTCGTACGGGATTCGTGTGGATTTGGAGGGAATAACGACGACAGCACTTGATGGAATATCGAAACACACTTTATTTACCAATATTCTCAGGACAGCTCCAAAATCCCGTTTACAGTCACGAAGATCTCCTATAAACACGCTGAAACTCAGCGACACAGCCTTCAGGTTATCAGGCTATAACGGGGGAGACAGCTTCACTGCAAAGCACCAGAATACAGCTCCCGACCCTTCTTGGTCGTTCTCGGAACTCCACGTACTCTCGAGACTCTCCACGCTACAACTCGCGATGCACTCGACGACACACAGAGCACAGCTGCCGAATCTTCGGTTCAGTCGTTCCCGGAGCTTTACACATTCTGTCGACGATGCACTAAACGCGATACACTAAGAGACTCTTCGATGCACTCGACGACCCACTCGGCATTCGCTGCCCGGTTGTCAGCTCGATCGACTCCGCACGGACTGACTAACTCGAGACTATATCGCACTCACTCTCCGCGTACCAGCAGGGTTTATATAGTTTTTGGCTTGTGTTCGAGAACATTCTGGGCTAAATCGATGATAATTCGTTCCAGAAGGTTCTCCATCCGTCCAAGGCATGTCGCCAATTTTGTCGCCAAATGTCTCCAAATAAACGATTTCTCGCCGAATGTGGCAACCCTGCCGTCATTTGCCATTGTATAGCAACCCTAAAACTGCTTTGCGGGGAAGCTATCTTACCACACCTGGACTTATCGTAAAAATATTTATACACAGTTTTGTCTGAATCCGTTCATTTGCTTTCTATATTAAGAAATTCTAAAGGAGTATGAAAAATGAAACATTTTAGCTAAATGTGTAGAGCCATTAGGTTATATCGCTCAAGAAAAGTAAAAAATGTGCAATGGCCTCTTCAGGGCTCCAACTTCGGACCTCCCAAATACGCGTCGACCGGAGTTATAGTTACATCACGAACTAGCAGCATGCGGAAAGGAGGGAGAAAATAACTTAAAAATGCTTCATTATTTGCTTTTGATAAGTTTTTTGGAGGAGGCAGGAGGTAGCGTTTTATTTATTTCCTATTTTTTTAATCTTCTTTGATTTTTGAATTATGCTATCCTTCATTCAAATTGCTTCATTTACAAGGAGAATTTGAATACGTACTAAATTAATTATGGTGACTGATAGACAAAAATAAACTTTAGATTTAAATTTTTAAATTAAAAAAAAATAATGTAATGAATTATTACTGCAGAAATCATTTATTTTTATGGCCATTGTTGGTGCCATGAAATGCGGCAACACGGCGAGGAAGAAAATCAATTAAGTAGCGACTGCAACATAAAGAAGTGTGTCGTCACAATACCATTCATGTTTAGTATCAAGTCATGAACGTTTTGCCATTGTATTAGCAAGAAATATAAGGTACCATCTAATGGTGTACCATCCGAACTTCAGTAAGTGACAGATCTGCTGAAAGGATGGCTCAACATGAACCTCAACTTGATTGAGACACTATAAAAGAAACATCAGTTTATTGAGGATATGCTTTATTTTGCTATAATAGGAAAATATCTTTCCGTAGACTTACATAACGCTTCGTAATGCATATAGGCCCAATTTACTGAATCAATCTGCCATTAATAATATAAAAAATGGGTTATCTTTTGTACTAGTTTGCCGCCCATTAAGATTAGGTATTTATCTTAACAGCTAGCCCATAGTTCCTCTGTATCCGTCTAACGCCATATGTGATACGTTCTCAGTGATGCTTAAACAGATAAACAATTGGCTATTGAGCATTTCGCTGTGCTGCTATATATTTTCCAGTAAACTCTTTCTCTGTTACGATTACAGATACTTTGAACAATGTAAACAATAGCAGACCAATTAAGATATGGTAAGCGTTCAAGCTTAGTTCATGCAGTCACTTGTAAGTAATCTTTAATGCAATCGCTTCTAAATAATGACAGACGATACGGGAGCGCACTAGAGCAGCGGTCGTCAACCTTTAGAACGTCATGGACCACTACATATAAAATTTTATATTTGGCGGACCACTAATATGAACCCCTTAAATCAGACCTTAAAAACAACATATTAATAGGGAAAAACAATATTCAACGTTCCAATACATGTAATTCTAATTTTCATTTGTTAATATAATTTTCGACATATTTGGTGTTCCTTTATGGAAATTCAGGCTACGCGCCTGATTATGAGTAGCAAGTAAAAAACTATTAACATCTCACTGATACACATATTTCGTTCACATTGAAATTATATTAAAAGTACAAAAATCTTACCTTCTCATACTTAGCTTCACATTTCCATATCACTGAAAAGGAACAAATCGGCATAAACATAACAATCATCGCTTTCTCAGCAATGGCGCCATCGATAAACAGTTAGACAAACAAAAGCGGAAACTTTCAATGATGCAATTCTAAACAAGAATGCAGATGGTTCTCATAAAAATCCATCAACATTGCTATTGACACGGAGAAAAACTGCGTTATTAACGACTACAATAGCAAATGTTTGTAATTCAAAAGGAAAGAGAATTCCAGTTCGCCCTATTATTGACAACAGTAGCGATGCCAACTCTTACTTTCAAATGTCGCTAGATACACCAGCAAAAATAGCTAAAATGTCGCTAAATTCATTGAAGGAATTTCGCTAAAAGTAGTAGCTAAAATTAAAAAAAGAGTATAATCCATATTCCGTAATATGTTTTGTTACTCGCCATTTTTAAAACTGAATCTTCATAAAAATACAAATAATGTCCCAATTTTTCTGCGGACCACCAAAACGTTTTCACGGACCACCGTTCGCGACCGCTGCACTAGAGCGCATTCACAATATTTAGAATGATAGAATTGCCGATGCCCTCTCTCAAAAAGCTCCCAGCAATTACAACGATCTTCATTTTTGTGTAGACATTATCAATGCATTAGTTTATAAGGTATTTCTCCCGCCTTCTTGTCATGCCTTCATGGTGTGATGGTCTGCACGCTCAGCGCGTAATTGAGAGGTCCATGGTTCGATTCCCGGCGAAGGCGTTGAATATTCGTCATCTATCCTGCTTCCAAAATAAACCTAATGACTCTATAAGTGGCGCCCGAACTAAAAGGGTGTTGGATGATGATTCTCCTCACCCAGGATTTGGCGAATGGGTCCCGTAAAAACCCCAGTCGCCCTTTAAAAGAGGGAGTATATAAGGTATTTCTCCCGCTTTTCTTGGCATGCCTTCGTGGTGTGGTTGTCTGCACGCTCAGCGCGTAATTGAGAGGTGCGTGATTCGATTCCCGGCGAAGGCGTTGCATATTTTTCCTCTTGCCTACTTCCAAAAAAAAATACCTAATGTCTCTACAAGTCACATAGCAATACTTTCTGTTTGAAAACTTCATGCATATGTTTATGGATTAGGACCCATATGCAATGGAGTTTATCCTTTTAACATTCTTGCTTCTGTGATTCCAACATTATTCGAGCTTTTTAATTCTGAAAATTGAAAGCAACTAATTTTTATAATCGGAAAATAAAAAATGTTGACTATTAACTCTGTAAATTTGATTCACATTTTAAAAAACCTGTTGCATAGTGCTACTTCCAATACTAGTATACTTTATTACCAAATCTCGATGACTTTAGTGAGATTTTGAAATGTAATTTTAATCATGTGAGTGCAATGCTTTTTATAGACTATTCTTCCAGAACCAATTTACGTGCATTTAATTCATTACTGTATATTATTTCTTAGTGCCTACCCCACGCCTGGTATATAGCATGCGATGTCCAACTATACATGGCTTCTCTGATTGTACTTTTACTACTTTTCAGGTAATTATTTTATAGTTCATGATAATAAACAATCTCTATAAATATTTTAAAGAAATTCAATTCGTTCCGGAATAAAATCTTATCATATACCACATTATTATTAACACGAATATGGATTCCTATTATCGATATCTCTAGTAATGGCTACCTATGTTTATGGTAGCGAAAACGTGCAGTAAACAACTTTTTTAAAAAAGGGTGGAAAAAAATCTCGCATTTATTTTGTAATAAAGCAGATAAAAAAATTGTTTGAAACAATTATTTGTCCGAAAATGTAGGATGTGTGATAGTACTCTTAATCTGTCCTTCAGAACGATGTCTGAGCGTGGACTAGTTGGATTTCAGGCTGGTAAATTCGAACTGCAAAGAAAGATTCAAGAAAGATCCAAGGAGTGATTGTGATCTCCTGAGCCAAACGGGCTGTGAAACGTTAATCTTAGCCATAATTAAGTGAAGACAATGGACAGCAGTTTGCCTTAATTATATTTATAAAATATTATAGTAAATTATATATTAATAAACATATGCACATTTATTAAATATAATAAACCTTAACTTTATGAGTACTTTTACAGCTCATTGAAACGAACAATTTTAATTTTCAACTTTGCTTATTATTAGGAATGTATCATTAAATAGTTAAATAAATAATAATGAAAGGGATAACATTTTGGATGCTTGGTGAGAAGGGGAAAACGGAGCCATAAAGGTTGGTTTATGGTTTTATAATCTTAAAATAATGTGCGGGATCTGAAAAAATTCTATTTATTTATTCAAACCACGTTCCATAAACTTAAAAAAATTATTTTACAATTGTTTACAAATTTTGATAAAATTTGAAGTTCTTTCAGTTTCATGCAAATTAGCGTAATGTTCCGAGCTACCGATTATAAATTTAAAAAAAATTATCCTTAAAATGGGGGGAAGGTGTGAATATTTGTATTCTTTCTGATTACATTCATTCTTAATTTTTTGAGCATTTTATGAGCTTTCTGAACTTGATAATGACGTAAGGCATTTGAAACTATTTTGAAGAAACAATTTTTGATGCAATGAATTTTTTTCTTAAGCCATGGAATGATTTTAAAATCTTGGCATTAATTTATCTCTAAAGAAACTTGATCTTTGTTTATCGAAGAGACATAAGTTTCTAATAATGAAACGGTTATAGCACTAGGTTTCGTTGATATAGTTTTTGGTCTTTACAGTTTCTAAGAGGAAAAAAATCTGATGTGTACACCACATGACTTCCTTGTACGGAATATTAAATTATACGCATTTTTTCTTGCATTTCATTTAAACTTATTGGATTGAATTAAACCTACCTCGCCGACAGCGCATAAACCACAATAGAATATATGCATTCTTTAAAATTCACTTTGTTTGCCATAGCGACACTCTGGCGTTAGGTTTACTTAACAGTATTATATTTCGTTCATATTATAACCCAGAATGCACAAAATTTATATCATTTAAAGAACAGAATTATCTAATCGTTGATACATGTTCTATTCAAAGCTAGAACGATGTATAAAAGAAATTAAGCAAACAAAACAAAACAATAACAGTTTTTCACAGACGATTGAGTATTTCTCATTCAATTAATTCAGTTTTCACTTCGCGACAAGGCAAAAATACATATAAACTCAAAATATCTATATTAAAAATTACGAAGTAAATCTTAAACACTTATTTCCTCGAAAAAATTCCAGAAAGAATTAAGCATGATTTATTGGCAATAATAAATGAATGCGTTATCTCTGTTCTTGCGAAGCTAAGTTTCTCTAGATTGGCAACAAATCCATTAGTCTCCTGTTTCAAATGAAAACATCAATGGCCGCCATAAAAAATGCTTAGCGGCACTTAGACAACTTTAAAATTGTTGATAATTCTAAAAATATTGCGTACAGATTTACTAAAGGCATAAAACCCTTAACCGGAAGATTAAAAACAACATAATTCAATCATTTTTAAAGCAAAAAATGTACAATTTACAAACATATAAGAGTAAAGAAACTGAGATCACTGAGCCGGGTAACAAAGTGGATATATATAGAAATATATTTATATACGTTTGGTGCGGCCGATTGCAACCAAAATACGAGGTGCACATCTACATGTTATAGCAGTCCTATATACAAAATTTCAACGTTCTGAGGCTACTCGTTTTTGAGTTATGCGAGATACGTACGTACTTACGTTCGTACAGACGCCACGAAAAATTCTCTTCAGAATTTATTTTAAAGCAGTTTTATAATTTTTTTGGAGGAAAAGAGTGTTTTTATTCTGTCCTTACATACAGATATCACAGAAATACATCGTTAAATTGCGTTTGAAAGAGGTCAAAATGGGATATTTTCGTTGAAATATGCTGCGTGAAACTTTTCGCGATTACAATACTTTCTTTTTACTTCTTACAGGGAAGTAAAAAGAACGTTATCATAATACAGAAAAAAAAAAAAAAAAAAAAAAAAAAAAAAAAAACTGACAGCAAATATCGTTGTCCGTTCGCCTGCGCTTCTGTAATAATTCTACACGGCACGTTTTCCTTCACAGAAGCGATTGTTACTGCAGAGTTGTCATGAAATAATACATCTTCCTTAAACTTCTTCCTGAAAACCAAGGTGAGGACAGACATTACATGAGCGTATATGGTATATCACCCGTTTTAAGCTTGCCTCCTTTTCATTTATTCGTATTACTGGTTACCCTGTGAAGATTTATCTATTTATTGTCTGCTAATACTTAATTTTAAGTTCAATTACTTTTCTGTCACTTTCTGTTCACTCACGCTTTTCATGCTAATGAGAATAACTAGCGTTTATTCAGATTGAGAGAGAAAGAAGTACTATGTAAGCGAAGTTTTCGCAAGCTAATTTTAGAGCGTGTTCTGACCATTTGAGGTCACGTTGTATCGTGATTTAATAGGGATTTGCTTTTGTGGCGTTGATTGTTTCTAGCCATTCAGCTTGTCTCGCCGCTTTTCTACAAACCAGAGCCTTTCCTGCGCGTTACTTTATCCTGTGAGCCGTTAGGCTAAGCTAATACATCCGATTTAGTTTAACATTACGTATTTAAGTGAAGTAAGAAGTGTTAGCTTGTGTAAATCCAAGCTGGGTCATTGCTATTTTCTTTGTGTTCAAATCAAAGAGTCTTATACACCCTTTGTTTGACTTTTACTTCTGTATTTCACGGGACTTGAGGATAATTCTTCAAGAGCTTTTCTTTTGTAAAAGTCTTAGTTTATGCTTCCTAAGAACATTAGACTTTAAAACTCCGAATATATTTTTTCCGTTTATTTCTGAAACATATTTACAATAATTACAAAATGCGCAGATGTAATTCCAGTAATTCAGTAAATCATAATCTTATAAATAATTATGTTGAATTTTTGTACATTCTTTAACTGAAGTAAATTGTATATGATGAAATATTGGAAAGAATTTTAAATTGTATTTTCCAGAGAAATGAATAAAAATAATAATGATTATAAAGCTATAAATTACAAATTTATATAATTTTAATAAAAGTTTTCAGAACTATTTCGTGTTCTTCTTATGTTGCTTAGTATTTCCACTTCATGATTAATATTTTACTTCTAAAACAAGAAAGATTTCCTAATGTACTAAATTTTCGCCTCTCTATTTTTATTTTCCAGAAACCCAAAACTAGGCATATTAGTTTCATTCTTGGGTGTACTAGGATGCATAGCATATTCTGGCATTGTAACCTATGTCAGAAACTTACCTCCTACGATGCTCACCGTGCATCCTGATCCAAGGTAAGTTATCTTTAAACTAATATTGTATAATTATTTTCACATGTTAAAATATTTTTGTATCTCATTAATAATAATTATAAGAAAACAGTACTATAAAGAAAGAAAAAGAAATGTAGAAATAAGAACAGCAGTAAAAATGACTCTTAAGTCAAATATACTGTTCTTTAAGTTACAAATTAAGCAGTTTTGTATCTAAAACTATGAAAAGGAAGCAATAGACAAACATAAAAATTCATTAAAAATAATTATATGTACTAAAATATAGTGAATGAAGTAACACAGTATTCATAGAAAATTAATTTTTATTTCAAAAATAGAAAGCTTTCACGCATAAACCAGTAGTAATTTGTGAGAGTTCAAGGTGTATTTATGTATTCCATTTTCTCAGAAACATTGATTAAACTTCAAGATACGTTGATTGCTTTTAAACGGATTTTCTAGGCCAATCAGGACCGAGCAGTAAAGTCACTGAAGTATTTCGGTTCGGAGTTCGCATCCCGGCAAACAGGCTGGTTTCATGGCGAACCAGTTTCCCCTAGAAAATCCTCCACAAAGGCATCCTTACTCTTAGGCAGATAGACTTGAGTGCTTTGCTGTAATTAAAACGAAACGAAACGGTCTTTCTACCAAAACAATAAGATAGTTAAAAATAAAATTCATAAATGAAAGTATGTGTTCATTCTAATAAAATATCTAGCTAGATTTTTAACTCAGATTGTTTATATAATTAATATTTCATTTCCTAAAATACATTAACTGAAAGCTAAATTTGCTTTCAAAGCCTTTTTTTATTACGTCATAGAATTCATATCAAAGGATATACAAAAACACTTTTTTTATTCCTGAGGATTTTTGACACCAATTTCACTTTGAAATATCCGACTATGATCGGAACATCTTTTTTGAAAAATCATTTAGAAGAGAATTTCTTTTTCAATATTTTGAAACATCTTCAATAAAAACCATATAAAAATTTGTTTTTAAAAGTTTGCACTCAAAACTTTTCAAAAAAAATTTTAATTTTGGTTTTTCAAAAAATTACAGTTTTTTTCAAAAAATCCTCATATTTAAAATTTTGATTTTATTAAATATTTTGCTTTGTTTATACATCACTCTGACTCTTGTTGAGGGCTTGAACTAAGAGTTTTCATGTGTTCATATTATCAACTGAAATATTACAAATTGAAACGGTGATATAGGAATTTTTAACAAATTTTTATGTTTGTTTAAGAGTTAAAAATGCATAAATTTGCTAAAAATCTTTATATCCAAAAACGCATAATTCAGGTTCTCAAGTATATTATGAAAAAGAGTTATTCCAAATTCTATATGAGTTGATCAGCAACTGTTTCAGTTATCACTCTTTAAATGCTGAAATGTGTGCGGAAACTCTCAGAAAATGCATTTAAAGCATAAATTTACTTATGCAACGCATATTTCTTTATTAACCCCCCACCACCACCACCACCCAAGTATTTCCATGTCAATTATATGGTTTCCAAAGAGTATATTTTCATCTTTAATTTCCTCTATAGATTTAATTTTCATTTCACTCGCTGTATTTATATTTTCAATAACAGTATTTGATATAGCAGTACGATGTCCATGGAATTTTCGCTTCCGAGCCACACGTTTTTTTTTTTAGGATTACCTATGTTAAAATTAAAACAAAAATGCAGAAAATAAAATAAAAGATTAAATTCAATAACTTGCACAAATTTTAATAAATACTAAACGACAGAATCATAAATAGAAGTCAATATCAATCATCGAACTGCAAGCAAATCGCATAAACTACGGTAGAAATAGCAAACAGTATTTCGAAAATTATAAAAAGTTGAAATGAGGCCAAACATGAAAATACAAGCATTCTGCAGATATTACTTAAAACTTTTAGAATTTCGCATTTCGCTTAAATAAAAAATATTAAAAAATAAATAAATTAAAAAAAAAAAACGTAAATTATCCAAATGACAACAACTTCCGGTTTCGAAGTAACAACTTCCGGTTGTTTTAACAACTACCGTCTTGCACTAAAACGGATAAAATACGATTTCTATTTATCATAGAATTAAAATAATGACGATTTTAGAAAGCCAATCAAATATTTTAATAAAAGAATAAAATGAAATTCGATATTTTCACCAAAATTCGTCATTTCAACGTAGTCGGATACCTTTAACATCAAACACGGAACATTCTGTTCCTTTTAAACTTGTACATAGAATATTATCGCTTTCAATTCTAATTTAATATATCAAATCCTTTTATAATTATTTCTGAGTTATGATAATGTGGTAGTACTAATTTTTTTTTCTCCTCTTAAAAACGATGTGATCATTTCTGATCCAGGTTTCAATTAGATAAACTTAGCATTAAAATTTAGCTATGCAAGTAATGTATCCTAAAAGGGTAAAGCTGCATGTGTAGGGCTAAACTTTAAAAAAGTTCCAGCAAATTTACCAAGTGATAGCTGACAGCATTTGTTAATATATCATCTCTTTCTTTTTCTGAAAGATTATCTTATTTCGGAAAGAATTACGGATAGATATTGATCTAGTAGACAACTGTTGTCATGGATTCAAAAACTGAGATTCAAAGCCTTTATGCTGTAAAGTGGTAATTAATCCGGACTGTTTTACGTAAATTGTGACTTGAAACAAAACCTGAGGTTTGGTATTGTTTCTAGGACAAAAGGGCAGTCAACTGCTTCGGATTGTAAAGTTTCCCTTTTGTAAATGTCTTATGAAATTCTATAAAAAAAATCCAAAGTTAAACTTTTCTAAAAATGCTTCAGAATTATGGCCCATTTTCAATAAACTACGTCAAAGATCTTCTGTAGGATTCTATAAACTTTTAATACACCTTCCACAGAATTATGCATAGAAGATTCTATACATACATTGTGTAGATATTCGATAGAGATTTGGGCAGAGATTCTGTAATATTTTGTGCAATTTCTAAATGTTTTAAGCCTAGATTGTTTTGTAATATGCATAGAATTAACAAATACAAGTTGACTAAAATGTATTAGATAATATTTATAGGAAAGTGGGCCATAATTCTAAGTTCTAAACAGCTTTTCTTGCTTTAAGTTTTATCTGAGAGATCTTATTATATTGAATATTTGAATATTTATGCGATATGAAGTAAAAAAAAAATTCTTTGAGGATTAAAAAAATGAAATAAATTATCTTTTTTGAATAGACTTTATTAATCTTGTCTATATTTTGAAAGAATCTATTACCTGGCAGAAGGAGAGGGAAATATTTGAATGAAAATTCTTGGAGCACATGTAAATGATTCCTAATAAAAATTTTTAATAATATTTTGATTTAAAAAATATCAAAATAAAAATAAATGCATTTTAAACTACAGTTAAGTCAATAAATTAAGTAATCAGTAAGTTAAGATTAACTCAGAATAAGTAAGTTAACTCAGTTAACTCAGAATCAGTAAGTTAAGATCAATAAATTAAACTTAAGAAATAATTTATATTAACAGGGATATATACGTAGCAATTAAAACCGTAAATTTCAGGAATTAAAATTATGTAATTAGCTGCATAAATTTAATTTTAGAATTAATTTTACGATTTTACAATATTTAAATCTTGTATTAAACGAGCGAAAATTTATACAAAAATTACGTAAAATGCTACTTCAATTCAGAAACGGAAACACATTAACCTGGAAGAAAATATCTGATGCATACACCACATGATTTCATTGTACGGAAAATTAAATTATACGCATTTCATTTACTGCATTTCATTTAAACTTATTTCCTCGAATTTCATTAGAGATATATTTATCATTCAATTAATTCTATTCTCAGTTCGCGCCAAGGCACAAATCATAAAACCTCAAAATATCTTGATTAAAAATGAAAACCATAAAAAATAAATAAAACACAGTTAACACAATTAAAAAAACATTTTTACAATTAAAATTAGAGTTTCTACGCAAAAACAAGCAATTCTGCCAGCAGGCAATAATGAAGATTTCGGTGCCCAAAAATGAAAGTTTAATTTTGGTCCCATTCGGCAAAACGACACTGAAGGTGCAGAAACTGAATTCACTGTTCTGCTAAGTTTCAAAGGTAAGCAAATATAGCTGCTATGGTAACCAAAAATTAGGCTTAGCCGAATTTAAACAGCTTTTAAACTGTTGGTAATTCTACAGCTATTGCATGCAGATTAACTAAACACCTAAAAACCTTAATCGGAAGATAATAAGAACATAATTCAATCATTTTTAAAGCAAAAAGTGCGCAATTTACCAACATATAAGAATAAAAAAATGAGCTCATTGAGCTGAGTAAGAGTAGGTGTATATATATATATATGTAATATATTCAGGAGCAGGATTGTAATATATTCAAACTCAGAATCAATGACCAGGAAAATTGGGAGGCGAATGCAGATTAAATCTTCAGTTTTATTTTCAACTACACACAAGTCGGCACATTAAATGTGCCTGTTCCAAAAGGCTTACATTTTTGATAACTTTGTAGCAAGAAAGCAGCAGCAGACAGACAGCAGTTTAGCTAGGTTAAAGCGTGGAAAGCAAGTGCGTAATGTTCAGGATGAAGTCAGACTGAGTTAGTTTTGGTTCTCAAAACATTCTGATTGGATGGTTAATATTGCTGTTAATTTATTATTGGCTGTTAAAAGTTTTAGTTCCGTTTACATCATCAGAATTCAAGGTCCATGTCAGAATTATGTAAGTGTCATATGGCATAGATTTTTCTCGGAATGACGCAGTGCAAAGAGAGGTTACTATTTTTAGAATAGAGAAGGGAAATTTACGTTGCTACTTTAATCATTTACATATTCTTTTTCATATATATATATATATATATATATGTGTGTGTGTGTGTGTGTGTGAAATATAACAAAATACGATGGCTGCTTTAAAAAATAATTGGCGCCATCAAAATTAACATTCTAAATTTGATGCTCTCCCCCCCCACTAAATTCCTCTGTTCTTCCAATTTCGAGATTATTCCAAATTACATTACATTGCTTGAAAAGGGTAATTAAAACTAGAATTGACCAATTATAGCTTAGAATACTTTCTGCACGTACCAAGTATAACTAACTGAATCACGAGCACTACACTTCCTTTTTTCCCCCTAACTTCTGCCATGCAAATAACTCTGCGCCGCTTATACTTCCCTGCCTGAAATGACGCCGGATCTTTTTACTTGTGCATATAAAAAATTCTCGTAATTGCTATGTTTAAAGAGTATATTGCCTACAAGGAATTATTCTAGTGCTCCTGGCAATCTGAAAATAAAGATGATAATTGGCTGAACTTACTAATTTAGTATCAAATTCTTCCTCTCGCCGTACCACTCAGCTATTGCGACGGTGCTTCGAAATTTTCACATATAAACTTTCGGTGCGGCCGTTTACAACCAAAACGAGAGGTATACAACTACATATTATAGCAGTCCTATATACAAAATATCAACGTTCTGAGGCTGCACGTTTTTGAGTTATGCGAGATATATACGTACACACGTATGTACAGACGCCACGAAAAAAATTTCTTCTGAATCAATTTTATATGATGTCACGCAAAAACAACGTTAAATTGCATTCGAGAGGCGTCAAAATGGATATTTTCATTGAAATACGATACCCGGAATTTTTCGTGATTATAATACTTCATTTACTTCGGACAAGGAAGTAAAAAGCAATAATTTCTATTAAAAAGTGATTCATTGTTTAATGAATTTAAAGTACTTATTTCTCCAGTTCTATACCCCGTATAAGAAACTGATTTTTTTTTTTAGTTACAGCAAGAAAATTTTGTAAATTTCTATAGAATAACATTTAATGTTATTAATTCTATACTATTTTCAGTTTTTATAAAATTTCTGCATTTTTCAGAAACATTTTTACAAAGCAATATTTCTGTAGAACTGTGCTCTGTAAAAGCTTTATAAAATTTCTGCAGAATTTTATAGAAGCGTTCCTTACATATGATTATAAGTTTCTGTTTTTTTACGTATGATTATAAGTTTATTGTTTTTACGTATGATCATAAGTTCTGTAGGAAGTTCTATAGAATTTTATCAAACCTAGGTTTTGCCAGTGTCAAAAACAATATTTTCGTAAAGGTCATCATGTCTATAGGAACTTCACGTTCAGAAGTCTTGAGTGGAAACTATGTTGATGACCTTTTTTATCGGAAAAGAAATTGCAAGAAATGAATTCCTTAAAAGAATATATTCTTGAAGAACAGGTGAGAAACTCCACATTTTATGAAGTAGAAACTGACTGACTACGAAAAAGGATTCATGCCTGGGAAAACTCTGTTGAGAAGAGAATTCAGTATGCTAAACCTCAAACTTCGCTCGCCTAAAAATTTATTTTAACAGCTCTGGAGAAATTCAGGACACCGTAAGTATGCTTTTAAATTATATTTCAAACAATGAATTCTATGAAGGAATCAAGCCAGCTGTATAAACATGACAAACTTTGTACAGACTTGCAAAGATTTTGTTATTTTCTTTAAAATTTTGATTTTGAACGAAATTAAGCCAAAAATTTTGTAGCCGCATTATATACATGTAACAAATATGCGACAAATAACAATGGAATGAATCTGTTGACCAAGAAAGATTTCTGGCAGTCATTGTAGTAGCTGAGGCAAAATTTAAGAGAACACACAGTTGACATCTTTGACTGATGACCGGGTGGCGATGGCATAACTGCGGAATAGAAGGATGAATGTTTTGCAGACATACGTGCTATGGGTAAACGCATAACTTATTTTGGAATATTCATATTCTTGAAAGATATTTTTTCCACATTACTACATAACGTCGACATTAAGCATCTGAACTGAATTATTTATCTAGTTATAATATTAATGAAACAATAGATGAAAGAGAGCAGTCACCAGGCGATGTTAGTTTTGCAAACGAGAAGAGGTGAAAAAAAAGGCGGTGATGTGATACTTTGATAGCAGAGTAGCTCAGCTATATATATAAGCTTGTAGAGACGTTAGATTAATTGGAAGCAGAAGTGATGTAAAATTAGCAAACGCTTTCGCCGGGAATCGAACCACGGACCTCTCAATACTCGCTGAGCGTGCAGACCACCACACCACGAAGTCATGCCAAGATGGCGGGAGAAATACCTTATAAGCTCCGGCTAATAAGGTATTTCTCCCGCCATGTTGTTTCCATCTGAATTTTGATTGGCTACGAGACAGCTGCGCTGCCGAGAAATTTTGATGCATTGCAAATGCTAGGAGAGTGACACATATAAATATAAAAAGAAAATTTAAAGGTGTAATTTATACCAATTGTTAATGATTAATTTCATGTTTTATATTTTCATGTATCTGTGCAATCATTTTTTCTACGACAACAAACTTGCTAAGTTATTTTTTATTACATACATAAAGCCATGTCCCAATCATTGATATGTGCATGTAAATGTAGCATAGACAGAACACTTTTTATTTTATTCTCTAAAGTTAGATTTCACTTATCTGAATACGGATTCATTATTTGGTATTCACTCGCAAACTTCACCCATGTCAAAATACGGTTTGTTTTCTTTCTAATATTTTGTAGAAAATGTCTTTCCTTTATAAATTCTAAATGCATATTAAACTGGAAATTAATTTTTTAAAGTTATTTTTGACAAACTGTTTTAGGAAATTACTGATACAAATAAACTGATATCTTAAATGTAAATAAAGTTTAAGATTATTGCAATATTATCTATTATTCTTACAATTTGATTATGGCATTAAATGAATAATTTTTATAGGTATTACAAACGCTATTGGGCAGAGTATTATTTTAAACCCTTTCCTCACATGGGACCTTATTTCATCGGAATCTTAGTTGGTTACTTCTTAGCAACAAACCCCAAATTAAAAATTCCATGGGTAAGAATTATTATGTTGTATTATATCTGTAATAAAATTTAGGTATATAATTCTCTTTAAATGTCATATTCTTTAACCCTTATTAAAAACGTATTATGTATTTTCATTCACATATTTTAACACATCATCTTAAAGGCATGTTTACATCTACTCTATTTAGAACGTTTGGAATAGAATGTATTTTGGATTCACTTTCCACTAAAATCAAATTTATTTAGTTCGGAATATTGCATCAAATGAAGCGATAACTAACAACGAAGCGTGATAAACATCAATCCAGAAAATCCATAACTTAATCAGATATATTATATAATTAGCCATATAATTAAATAAAAGCTAAAACTATTTATTAATAAAAGCTAGATGTATATTAAAAGAGAGACCCCATTCTTTTCTTCAAAAGCATACACAAAATAATTTTTTCATGCATTGAAGAACCGACTTTAGAACATTTATACGGACGCCGGTTTATATTAACGCCGGTTTAATGTTATAATCGTATGATAAGCGAGTAGCTCCGCTCAACCATGATTGGTTGATAGTGGTTCATGACTCTGACTACCGTACTGAAGAGCCCGAGTTCAAATCCCGGAGAATAGTAGTAGGGCATAGGGCTGGGAGACCATCGGATTCGCCCCCACAAGGTGCTATTTATAAGAACTGGGGCGGAACTCAGCTAAAGTCAGGTTGTCAACTATATGGTGTTCAAGGCTCTTGCCAACGGCAAGTGCATTTGACTCCTTCCCAATGTGCCACGGGCTTGTGTTGCCAATTTTCAAACAAGTGAGAATTGTATCAACAACAAGTGAGCAGCAACGCTTCAAAAGTTAAAAATGATTACATGTATTTTAGTGGTAATGGATAGTATAGAAACCTGGCTGAGGTTGTAATGGTTTGAAAAAAAGTTTTCATTTCCTAATTTTTTCCAAGTATTTCATCCTCTCCTTGCATCTAAATTTATCGTAATTGCATCATATTTTAAAATCAAATTTAAATGTAAAATGCATACATATTTATGAAGTTATTTTCAGTAACCAGAAATAGTTTATTAAATTAAATTCAACCTGCGGCTACACAACGTAATGTTACGTTTTACACGTTAAGTGTAAAAATTCATTACAGTTCTATTCATTTTTCCTCTGAAAGGGGTGTGTTAGTAAACTAACAAAGGATTCTAACTCACTTGTTTAATTAATTTGTACCTAATTAATTTAATTATACCTAATTAATTAATTAAATTATAATCTTATAACATTAACGCAGAAAAATTATAAGGATCTGAAATTTTGATCGAACCTGTCATCACTAAATACCAAAAACGCTATTTTGCAACAACAAAACTTTCAAAAGACTTAAAGCTTTCTGCTTTCAACGATTCGAAAAATAATTCGCATTCCATTTAATCTCATCATAACACTAAATTTACGGGACTCGTCATTTTGACGGATTTCAGACTTTTTGAACAAAATTACGAAACCGCTTTTTTATAGTTTTTTAATTTATGCTAACAATTTTCGATGCAATAGGACGAATACATACCCAAAATTATTTCCCCTTCAAGCACTTAATTTTCTATACTATATGAAGTATACCTATCTCTACGAATACCCGTGAAAATGATGATGGGTAAGCAAGCTACTTTCATAGTTAATCGTATTAAACCTTTTTATGAAATTATTTTACTGGTAGTACAGGGGTTGGACAAAAATATGGAAACACCTTTAAAAAACATGTTTCTTTGCTTAATATGGTGTAGGAAACCCGTTGGCATCCAAAACAGCTTGCAGTCTTCTCGGAATGGATAAATACAGTTCCTGTATGTTTGCCAAGGGAATATTGTACCATTCTTATTGCAAAACGGTGGCAAGTTCAGATAACGATGTTGGCGGTGGATAACGAGAACGCACTTTCCGTCCCAATGTAGACCACAAAGGTTCGATAATATTCAGGTCTGGTGACTGTGGTGGCCAGGGGAGATGGGACAACTCATCCTCGTGCTCAGAAAACCAGTCCTGGACAATGTGAGCTGTGTGAACAGGGGCTTTGTCGTCTTGGAAGACACCGTCACCATCGTGGAACAAAGTTTGTACCATGGGATGAACTTGATCGGCCAAAATGTTCACATAAGTCTTGGCAGTCATGTGCCCTGACACAGTTATCATGGGGCTAGCAGAGAACCACGATATGGCTGCCCAAACCATAACAGAAACCCCGCCATGTTTCCCTCTTGGCAACAAGCAGTCTGTATTATAGGCTTGAGATGTCGTTCTCCAGACGTAAACTCGGCTAGAAGTGGGAAACAATGTGAAAGAAGACTCGTCAGACCATATTACTCGCTTCCACTGCTCTATAGTCCAGGCTTTATGACTTAAACATCACCTTTTCCTGTTACGGGCATTAGCATCACTGATGAGTAGCTTCTCAATTGCAGCACGGCCAGCAATTCACTGTTTATGAAGCTCCCTTCTAATTGTTTTTGATACTCACAGGGTTCGGTGACACAACATTCATTTCAGCAGTAACTTTTGCAGCTGTGGTCTTCTTATTTTTCGTCACAATTGCCCTTAATGATCGTCTGTCACGATCACTCAGGACACACTTTCGTCCGCGCTGTGATTTAGCAGATGATGTTTTTCCGCTTTTCAAATATGCGGAATAAATCTTCGATACAGTACCTCTTGAAACACTAAACACCTCGGCTACCTTGCTTACGGAAGCACCTACCATACGTGCTCCAACAATTTGCCCACGTTCGAAGTCTGTTAACTCTGACATAATGCAATGACAACCTCACATAACAGTACTCCGACAACAACTAAACTGTTTAGCACATTTACGAAGTTGTATAGGTTTACGAAGTTGTATAGGTAGTCAAAAACGCCAGCGCCACCTACATATTTCATTAAAATCAATCTTTCTTTTCAAACATGCATTTCACAAGGTGTTTCCATATTTTGGTCCATCCACTGTAAATGTAAAAGTTGTTAGAATCTAGATGCTAAATAAAAATCATAATTGAATCGAAATATCTTTCCATAACTTCGAACCCAATATCCACGCACCATGATTCGTCAGAGCCAGGGATATGCCACGTATGATTATTTGTCAATCGTACGTCGTAGCGTAAACATAAAGCGTTAAACTGAAGGCTAAAGAACGATGTGTAGTCGTTGAGTTCCAGTCAACGTGTCAAAACATTTTAGAAAAGTTTCAGTTAGTGCGAGCACAGACGATCTAGAGGATAGTATTAAATTATTATCAGCAATATCATTATAGAATTAGAGGAAAGTGCTAGTTCTACTTTATTCTGTCGAAATACCCTCCTTTTGCCATCATGAGTAATCCAAGAAAAGATACTAAATTGCTAGAGAGAATAGTAGTAGCTCCGAAGTAGTAGAAGATCAAAAAAAAAAAAAAAAAAAAAAAAAAAAAAAAAAAAAAAAAACAAGAAATCTCCGTATCTGAAGGTGCAGATATTAAAGATTTTTCATGTAGTAGTGATGAAGAAAATTTGCAAAATGTATGTCGTGGCAGGAAAAGGAAGCGTTTTACTCTCGATATAGAGTCGGATATTAAGACGAACGTTCCTGGTTCATCTCCAAATGTAAGTGAAATAAATAGAAGTTGCGCCTGACGATACCATTGGCAAAAACTGGAAATATGGGAAGGTCTAGTTATGGGGTACCTTCCTATACAATATTCAGAGACGTCGCAGAACCACCTGGCTATGCAAAAAAATATTAATATTTTTAAAGAAAGTACATGGTTTCCTATACCCGTCAGTTTGACAGGTGTTCATAAATATAGGTTTACAAAAATGTCCTTAAACGCAGTGTTAAATACTTATGTCTAGTTATATAACTTTTACATGTTTCTATTTGAAAACTTCAGAGAAAGTTGTGCAAGAAAGTGCATATAGCCTAACAGAGGTTATAAAATAAAATTGCAGTGCTTATTAAATCTAACCTTTAATGCATAAAAATTTATTGGTAGGTTGTACAAATTCTAGGCTGGAGTCTAGCGTCAACTTTCTGCATTTCTACATTATATGGAACATATAACTGGAATCAAGGGAACGACTATACTGTGCTGGAGACTGTGGCTTATGCTAGCTTCAGTAAAGTAGCATGGACATTGGGTGTAGCGTGGGTAATTGTGTGTTGTGTCAGTGGATATGGAGGTGAGTTGTTTGTATACGCCATACAGTTCATATTTCGCGTATTTGAAATTAAGCATCTTATGCAAGCTAATCACATTTTTGTTAAAGATTTATAAAATTAAATTACACAAGAACTGTTTGTTTACAGCTTACATTTAATATAACTATTTAATCATTAAACAGCAGAATTTCATATATTATATTTCATTTCCACTCATGTTTTATTCATGTAACATCCATAAATTTTGTTGTAATTTTAAAATCTGCCATGAGTATTATCCCTCCTCCTTTTACCTTTCTTTGTATTGCTTAGCAAATGAATAGCTAGATAAATGCCACATGAGGTTTTTCTTTCTAATTCACTGATTAGTTTGAAACTATGTTATGTTAAATTCTAAAATCAAACTGACTAATAAGAAGAGTTTCAAATGTAAACAAATAGCCGACGCGTTAGGCCTAGCGAAGCCTACGTTTTCAATTTGTTGATAGTTTTACAACTATTGCATGCAGATTAATTAAAGACATAAAAACCTTAACCGTAACATAAAAACAACATAGTTTAATCACTTTTTAAAGAAAAAATGCACAATTTACGAACATATAGAAATAAAAAAATTACATTAAAAAAAAAAAAAAAACAAATCAGAACTCACAGAGCTGGATAAGATGTTGGGTATATATATATATATATATATACACACGTATATGTTTGGAGCGGCTGATTGCAACACAAAAGGGAGGTGCACAACTAAATTTTATAGCCCTTCATTCTGTCCGTACGTACAGATGCCACGCAAGAAAAGACCTTCAAATGGATTCGAGAGACGTCAAAATTGGGTTTTTTCGTGGAAATATGATATCCGAATTTTTTCGCGAGTACAGTACTTCCTTTACTTCGTACAAGAAAGTGAAATGAAGAAATGCTTCACGTAATAAACAAAATAAAGCCACATTAACAGCCGAAAGAGCATCGAATTTCATACATTTTGTCCGTCACTTGATATCACTGTAGCTAGATTCATAATACTACATTTTCAAAGAATAATTTCCAGTTTGAAAGCTTAATATAGAATAAAAAAGAACCTTCTGGCTTAGTTACTGTACGATATAAAAACATTCTTTCCATGTGTTTTCAGATGTAATGGCTAGCCCATTGGTCCAACTCAGCGTAGATTCCATGCTCTGTTTTTGAGAAGGATTTTAGGACTTCTTGCAAATGAACCATTCATGATATTTAAAATATTTTCCGGATCTTTTGCGCTTTTTCTTTTATAACTGTTAAATTTTTCATATGATGGTACCTAAAGACGAAACCATATTCTCCTTTTATTATTCACAGTAAAGAATAATAATTAAAACTAAAAATTTATTAACTATTGTTTAAAAATATATTATTTGATTATCCTCATCATTCCTCAACAGTTATGCATTAAATGTTCCTCGTTAGCTTCTAAGTTAATGTTCAATTTTAAATATATTTCATTTTTGCACTTTATTTTGGGGAAAGAGGAAAATGATAACACTTTTTTATTTCAGGCATTGTAAACAGCTTTCTGTCATGGAAAGTATTCATGCCTCTCGGACGTCTGTCGTTCGTTGTGTATATGTTGCATCCGTTTGTACAACTTGTTTTTATCGGAAATATTACTACATCACTACAAACAGATCATTTTATAGGAGTAAGTAACTTAAATATATGTGTTTTTTTTTAAATCTACTGTATCCATATCCTTTACCTTCGTCGACAATAAAAAAATGACTAAATTAAAACTTCGGTTTAAATTATTTCTTCTGTGTGTACGCTTCTCTCTTATGACTAAAATAACATTTCTAAATTAACAATTTTAAACACCTTCAATTTTTAAATTTCGTAACTATTAAACTGTGCTCAGTCTACATGCAGGTCAAATAATTATGGCTGAAAATGTTCTAAGTAGTATTAAGTGACCATAAAGTAAAGCTTTCATAAATTTCATTGCTAAAAGAAACGTTTCGAATGAAAAGGATGCCATTGGTTTTATTTAATAAAAGGCATGACAAAAAGTAGCAGTAAATACTTAACAGTTTCATTAAAAGCACATTCCATCTACAGTTTCCAATTATAAATGTTCCGTAAAATTGAATTGGTCATTATAATAGTTATAATATAACGCCATAAGTAAATGAGCAAAACTACCGTGTACGAAAATATTGGTTTGGCAAGAAAGAATATTTGGTTTCCACAAATAATATAGCGTTATGTTCGTTTTGTTATTCTTCTCTCGATCTTATAATTTTCTTTATTTTGAGATTTGGCAATTGACATTTTTTAGTTCCTATATAAGGTATTTCTTCTGCCTGCTTAGCGTGCCTTCGTGGTGTAGTGGTCTGCATGCTGGTCGTCTATTCCAGAGTTCCGTGGTTCGATTTCCGGCGAAGGTGTTGCTCATTTTTCATCTCGCCTGCTTCCAAAAATACATAATGTCTCTACAGCTATAGAAACAAAATTCCGTGTTTTCCTTTTAAACTGCTAGTTTACGGTCAGTTTTAATATTGGGTGCCAAAATGGCCATTTTCGACATAGTTTACGTTTTTATTTTTATAAAAGCAAGATAGCAGCTCAGGTTTACAAAAAGATATGTGAAGTTTATGACATTGATTTCTTAACAGAAAGTATGTGTCAGGATTGGTTTAAAAATTTCTTTCTGGAGATCTTTCATTTGAAGATTACCAAAGTTCTGGCTGACCCTCTGAAGTTGATGATGACAAAATTAAAGCCATAATTGAATTAATCATATAACTGTAAGGTAGATTCCAAAAAGATTAAATCACAATTGGAAATCAAATAAGATGTCTTAGACTCGTTAAGAAGCTCGATATTTGGGTTCCACATGAATTGAAAGAAGTTCACTTAAGATAACGATTCAATATTTCCAATACCCATTTCAAACATAATGCAAGTCGCCTTTTTTTTAAACAAATTATCACTGGTGGTGAAAAATGCAATAACATTAATCGAAAAAGATCATGGTATAAGCATGACAAATCAGCACAAATCATATCAAAAGCTAACTTTCATCAGATAAAGATCATGCTGCCAATTTGGTGATATTACAAAGGTGTTGTGCATTTTGAGCTGCTTCCAAGCAACCAAACGATCAACTCAGATTTTTATTGCCAAGAACTTATGAAATTGAAGGAAGCAATGAAAGAAAAAAAGGCCAGATATGGAAAATCGAAAAGGAAACATGTTCCGTCACGACAATGCGACGCCTCTCACATCTTTAGCAGCACGCACGAAATAATTGGAGTTTTATTGGGAAGTGATGTGGCATCTCCCATATAACCCTGACCGTGCACCAACAGATTATCATTTATTTTGAATTTTACAAAACTTATTAAATGATAAAAATATTAGTAATTACGATAACCTCAAATAACACTTTGGTTGAGTTTTTGCTGGTAAAACAGAAGTTCTGTGAATGCAGAATTATGAAGTTACCAGAAAGATGGCAAAAGAGCATCGAACAAAATGGAATATAGTATTTGACAGATTGAAGTTAATTTTTTTATATAGAATAAAATGAGTTTTATTTCATTGGGAACACTAAAAACCGAAATTACTTTCTTGCTAACCAAATAATATTCTTTAAGACCTGCTTTTATTTTATCAAATGAACGGTTTAAGTCCAGTTTTCCCATTTTTATTATGCCATATGAAACATTATTCATAATTTCGAATTTTCTATTCAAATTCGATTAAATCATTGATTTATAATCGTACATAGAATGAAAGCAATTATGACAAATAGCTCCAAAATTATGGTAAAAAAAAGTTTAGATTTTGAAAGTTAGAATTATTTTGTATATGAAAAATACAGTAACAACTAAAATATAATTTACTAATTATGCAATAATAATTTGCATAGTTTGTAAAATATTTTGCATTATTTTAGCATGTCTTTTGTAACAGAATGACAAACGTATTGTTTGTTTATTCATGCTCCTGCCTTCATTTTTACTGTTTGATCTATTTCAATTTATTAGGTTTGGTTATTCCTTGGTCATCTTTTCAACACGTACGCTCTTGGTTTGGTTATTTCCATGCTAGTGGAGGCTCCTTTCTTGGCACTGGAAAAGATCCTTTTTACCCAATCAAGGAATAATAATGAGAAAAAGGTTAATGATGAAAACCAAGGAACTCTTCAAGCAGATAAAAATAAATCTATAAATACAATAATACCAACTTTTCTAAAAGAACCTAAGACATTTGATGAAGGTATAAATCATTATGATGCAGGTAACAATATAGTGTACAAGCTATAAAATATGAAGTGTACCTAATATTGAATTAAATAAACGTGTTGCAACTCCAAACAGTTACCTTACTGTGTCGATATACAGAATGCGTTAATAATTAATATGTATCATTTTAGATGAATAAAAGTATCAGTTTTCACATCGTGCCAGGATGAAAATTTGTTACTTTTATTTTTAATTTTATACTTTTGTGAGTCATTTAAATACTTTTTATCCATAACTTTTATTCATGAGCTGCTTTCCATAACCATTCATAAATGATTTTATCCAGCATTTTCTGGGCCATCATTAATCGTAGATATATACACTGGTGTGCAAAACTTAAACAACAATGTATATTTTAATCGGATAGCCATGAAATTGCAGAAAAGGATTCAAAAGAACAATGAACATGCAATCAGTAGAAAAGTCATGCGTATACAAATGTCAGAAACAAAACGTCACAGGCGACGTGAGCGTACGCAAAACGCGTGCGGTGGGCGCGCTTAACTCAAAACTACAATTAAAAAAGGGCAGAGACGCAATTAAATACATTCGCTGCAAGTACAAGGGCGTTCTTTCGTGAAATATGGGCAAGAAGAAATCAACTGTATGCCTTCACACGTCGAATAATTATCGGAAAGCTGGAGGAGGGACGTAGTGTGACCAGTTTAGCTGATGAGTTCGGAATCAACAAAAGTGTCATTTCACGCACTTAGAAAGCATTCCAAACAATACGTGCAGCTGTTAGAAAGGTTGTAGGTGGCCACCTTAGGAAAACAACTGCAGTGGATGACCACTATACCGTCCTGCAGGCGAAAAGAGTCCGAAACCAATCAGTAAGGGCTATAGTTCAGCAGCTGTGTACAGCAACGGAGTGGCAAGTATCACGGTTTACTGTATCCAGATGCCTTCACATAGGTGGCCTATTCTCCCCCCCCCGTCTTGAACGCTGCATACCTTTGAAAGTTTGCCATTGTCGCCACCGTTTAGTGTGAAGTAAGGAGCACAAAAGTGGACTTCTCATCAACGGAGTCGTGTCCTCTTTATGGATGAGAGTCGTTTTAGTACCACAAGCGATTCTCAACGCCAGTTGATTTGGAGAGACGTTGGAACACAGTTTCATCCCAGTATCATCACGGAAAGAGACCGTTGCAGTGGTCCTAGAGTTCTCGTCTGGGGAGATATTATGCTGAACGGGCGGACAGAGTTTCACGTTTTCGGCAGAGGTTCTGTAACCAGAGATCGCTATTATCAGGAGGTGATCCTTCCCCATGTGCGTCTGTTCCGAGGTGCCATTGGAGCAGACTTCGTTTTTATAAAAGGCAATGCACGGCCACACTGGACTCCTGCTGTTCAGAAGCTACTGGAAAGAGAAGATATCACTCGAATGGATTGGCCAGCGTGCTCCCCTGATTTAAATCTCATAGAACATGTGCGGGATGCTTTGAGGAGACGCCTTGCGGCACGATTACATCCTCCGGGGAATACCCAACAGCTGAAATAGATGATGATTTGAGGAATGGGAACTCTTACCTCAAGATCTGTTGGATAATCGGGTGCTGAGTATGGATAGACGGTGCGAAGCAACAGTAAGGGAAAGGCATATCCTACACCAAGAAACATCTGCTTGTTGTTCTTCCTCTTGTACAGACAATCATGTTTAGTGATACTATGAGTTCAATAAAGCCTTTTTTATTTGATTCCATACTGCATGCATTGTATTCATTTTTAAGCAACTATGCTTTTGTCATCGTTTAAATGCAAAATGCTGTCTCTCATTTCTGAATTTGATGTCTTTCAGCTGATTTCTCGTAGAGTTTTGGCAAAAAGAACACCTGTTGCTTACGTTTTGTACACCAGTGTACTTCCAGACACAAAAGATGTTTCAAACGGCAGAAATATTCATGTTTGGGCACTTTTAAATTTATCAAAACAAATTTTTCTAAAACATGTGAAATCTAACTATCCCTGTAGTTATACTACATCCCACGTTTGTGAAGTTATAATTAGTAAAAATTTATACTCATTCTAAAAAACAAAATACGAGAAGTGTAACTTTCAGATGATGAAAACTATACGAGATATTTTAAGTCTGGGACTTTAATGGACTTTATAGCGCCAGAGAATGAGATTATTGCTCTGCTTAAGGAGCCTGCTAAAAAATTAATTAGGATTTTTCGACGCTCCTTTTTTTCCAGTTTAATGCCCGTAAGCGATAATCTTTCATTATCTGTCAATGTGAAATATTTTTACCATATATATTTGGTATGGCCAAATTACTTTCGCGCAATTAATTCATAAAATTTTTATACTAAAATTACGTCAATAATATTCACATACACTTTTATCACTTTAGATGGTAATTTATTAATTATACAAAAATTCATTGGAAATAAAACATTTTTCATTTTTATTTTAAGCAAATAATGTTACGAGACGGATATGTCGAAAGTAAGCCACTACTTTATAACAAACGAATTTCCAAAAGACACCTTTTTGAAAAGAAATTGTGTAGATCAGAGCTTTTCACGACAGTCTGCATATTAATGCTCGCCACTTAAATCTTTCATGTGATAAACGTTTTGTTGAACTGTTATTTAATTTTTGTATATTTTGCTTTTTATTCTGAAAACTTTAATGCCTTTGCCAGTTTTGTGTCTGAATTTTCAAACTGTTTGCACAAGCGGTGGCTGCCCAGGCTGGAGAAGCATAAGCATAAAATAGTATAGGTCTTATGGCCTGTAGATACAAATTCTTTTAGTAGCGATGCTGAGAGATAAGTGTCTGCCAATTAATGCATATGCAATTAATACATATTCCAATAGCTTAGTTTGCTTTGTAAAATTCTAACCTGTGTGCCTTTAAGTTATAATCTAAGTTGAAGAATCTTAAGAACTAATAAGCGAATAATCGCTTGAGTTCGTCAGACAGAGAGCAAAACGTACGAATGGTCAAATTTCCCTTTATTATTCCAATAAAGTTTAACAGAACTCTTTCTTGGACTTTTACAAAAAAGCCTCCACTCGGGCTTGAACTTAGGAAACTAAGAACTAAACTAATCTTAACTAAAAAGATATAGCCGAAGCTATCGTAATATCTTGTTATTTAATAAATAAATATAATTATTCTTGAAGTGGCAACGCCATATTTGTATTAAACCGTTACTCAGCAACGTGAGATATTGTTTTAAAAAAGAGGAGATTCTGAAGATTTTATCAGCTAGGAGTAGTATGAAAATTTTGCCACTTAAGAATTGTATAAAATTTATCTATCACCGTGAACTAGAAATAAAATTTATGTTCTACTAAGAAGATTGTCTGTTTTGTAAATTACTGCAAAATACATTACACTATCAAGAATCTAACAGAGTTGTCCCCTTAACGCTAAATAATGGCGAAGCTATCAAGGGCCTAAAGTACGGCCGAGCGTAATAATAGCTTACGAGAGAGTAGCCTAAAAAGGCGGAAGCGTGCAGCCAGAATATTTGGTATCTCTGTAACTCAGAAAGTAGAACTTCGTAGTTACATACCGTTCTTCCTCATTAGTATTCAGACGTGATTCTAAAACTACGTTCTGGCCGGAAGTGGTAAGTTGAATTTAAGAAGCGATAGGAAAGGAAGTTTAACTCAAGATTTAACTGTTAATAAAATTAACATAATCCTTACAGTCTCATAATGATACTTTTTTTTATTTATTTTGTTTCACAAAAATATGGAATTAGTTTAATATAAAGTGTTGTATCAGATGGAAATAATGTCTATTAATTAAACCCTGTATATTAAATGAATATTTCTTTTTTTGCAAGATTTGCCTTGAAATGAACGTAAAAGAACTTCCTTCCTTGTGGAATGAAATCATCCAAACTTACGCTACAGCGAGTCTTAATTCTGTACTGAAAGATTACATACTTTTACTGTCTGTGATTACCAAAGATTCTCATTATGCTAGTCAGAGTAGTTATTATTTTACTAAGAACTAAAACTTAACTAAAAAGATATAGCCGAAGCTATCAAGATTCTAACAGAGTTGGCCCCTTAATGCTAAATAATCGCGAAGCTATCAAGGGCCTAAAGTAAGCCGAGCGTAATAATAGCTTAAAAGAGAGTAGACTAAATAGGCGGACGCGAGCTAGTCAGAGTCACTGGTTCTCTCTAACGAAATCAGCAGAACTTCACAGTTAAATACTTCTCATCATTTGCATTCAACTGCGATTATAAAAATACGTTCTGGCTGGAAGTTGTAAGCTTGAAATTAAGGAAAGATAGGACAGTAACTTTAACTCAACTGTTAGATAAATTAACATAATCCTTACAGCTTTTTTGCAGATATAACTGATGTGATTTTGGAAGCTTAATTGTTTGTCTGTAAACACCTAGATATTTGACCGAGGCAGCCGGAAGGTTTCTACTGCGAAATTATATACTTTACCTTCTTCTGCTCAGGCCAGCCGCAAGAGAGACTATGTAAATTTCGAACAACATAAATATTTGCGTCATTTAAAACCTTTGTGTAACTGAAAGATGATGTCTATTACCAACGGTTGTAAAAATAAATGCTGCATAGGACGGTATTTTCAGATATCAGAAATAATAAACTTTGTAGAACGGCAATGGATTCGGACAAAGAATTTGCTTTAGTAGTCAATTTTAATATTTTTAAAAAATTGCTGTACTATATGAATCAAATGCTCTTGAATATTAAACTGCAGATGCAATTTCCTTCTTCTCCTGTGTAGAAATCTTGAAAACTCAACTGTGCTGTCGTCGGCATGTGAACCAGTGATCTTCTAGCTACCATATGCACGCAGGTAAATTGCACAGCAAAGCCGCATGGGATGAATTATTTACCTAATTAGGGCAAAACACACTAAGCTAAAAGGAGGCATGCTTTCGAGGAGGAGCTTCTAATAGAAACTTGCGCTTATTCGTACTTCAAATGGAGAAAGCCAGGAATCGCAGCACGAAATGATGCAGCTATTCTGTCCGTCGATATGCGAACCTAAGTCGAATTACCAGTAATCAGCTGGTTTATCCACTTGGTCGGTGACAGGCAAGACAGATCGGAATACAGCAATA